GTTACGTCGTTGAAAAAGGCACTCGGTGGTTTATACGACCCATTATATTTGACCTAAAAATAACTCTTTACGTCGTATTTGAATTTTTTGTAAACACGAGACTGAAATCGATGGCTTAAAGACCATTAGAAGTATTTTTTTTGGTTTATATACCCATTGATAAAGTGATTTATTCAAATGTATTATTAAAACTATGTATGTAAATAATGTATTGTTTACTATTTCCAGGCTTTTGTTGTTTAGAGAATTTGCACAAAGATATTTAACAGTGTAAAAACTATATTTGGTTGAGGTAGAAATAATAAATTTGCTTGCATACGAAAAATAACATTTTTTTTTACAATTTTGCAGGAAAATTATGGCAAAACAAATAATATTTCTAATAATTCTAAACAAAACTAATCACCATAAATTTTGAACAAAAAAATATAATTACAGCAAAACATTAAGACAGCTTTCCTGGTTCTCTGCTGACGCATATTGATTTCGTTTGGTTATGATAAATTTTGCATGAAGAGAAGAGCCGCAGTATGCTCAGGAGAAGGATTTGTAATTTTTTGAGAATTTCTCTAAGGAATTTATATCTTTACAAGAAACCCAAATTTAAATTACAGCTAAAAGTAACCACTACTGGCAATAATTAAAAGTTGGAGTACTTGTAAAGTAATAAACTATTACAGAGCATCTCAAAAGGGTATAAAATGAGCACACTATGGCTCGTTTTCTTTGTTTAAAAGTCTTGAATTCATCACATTTAGTCGAGATCAATAGGCTAGATGACAAAATTTTAATTATTTGTCCGTCAAACAGATAATTAGAAAATATGAGACTCATATTTTTTATTTTCTTTCATAATTTAATAATATCAGTGCTACATCGAGTTGAAATGGCGCGATACGTCACTCTTGAGTAGAATTTTTACTCAAAAGTGACGTCACCCGACATTTCAACTCAATATAATACAGTAATTCTTCGATTATGGGAAAATTTAAAGTATGAGTCTAAACCTGGAAAGCAACCTTATACAGGGTGTTACTTTGCATTCTTGCCATATTTACAGAGGTTACTATATTACTGATACTGAACACAAATCCGTAAAAAAATAATGCCCGAAAAAAATTTTTTTTAATCTTGATTATTTTATTTTATCGACAATCTGTTAAACACACCACTAATTATCGTAACGCATGCACATCACTTGTTGGCGATGGCGATGGAGACTTTTTTACTTTTTATTGTATTTTTAAATATCTATTGCAATCTATTGTCTTTAAAATGTCTTTTTGACACTTGTAAAAAACTGAGAAATTCATCAATCACAAATCACGTCATAAATAATACAAAAATGTCTGAAGCGTATTCAAACAACGAATAATTTAATCAAAATGGTGCTTGGAGTGTCTGCAAAACGTCTTAGACGAAATGCTTGATGACGTACCCTTAGCGTTACACCAAATGCTCTACTACCAGCAGGATGGTGCTCCCCCACAATAAGGACGTCAAGTGCGCGAATAATACGTTTGGTGAACAGTGGATTGGACGAGGGGTCCAGTAGCTTGGCCACCACGATCCTCGGACCTGACACCAATGGATTTTTGGAGTGACTTGAAACGACTGGTATGCGCAGAAGAGATAAACAGTGTAAACGCGTTACATGAAAGGATTGTTTTAGTGAAACTGTGATACAAAACGTTTATGTGTTGCGAAAACTAAAGCGAAAAACCTACGCTTCGCCGTGCTAGACTGTGCCTTCATCAGAACGGAGGACACTTTGAACACTTGCTTCGCAGTACGTAAACTTTGTAAGTAGGAACTTATGAATAAATAATTAATTGTGAATAAGGTGATTTCATTTCATACTTAATTTATTAATTTGTAAAAATAGGGTACAATGTTGTAAATTAATTGAAACCCTATTAATTATTACGTATTTTTGACGGTCCTAAGCCCGTAAAGTAGAAAGGAAAATCTGAAATCAACTGAAGAGTATTTTAAAATAGTTATTATGACTGGATAAAAAGGCTGGTACCCAAAGCCATAAAATTAAGAACTAGGCCACGCCCACTAGGTTTATTCCACTTGCACCTGTAGAACGTGCGAGACAAAATTGGTTTATTCCAATTTGTACTGAAAAACCAAATTTACTAAAATCTTAGTGTACTTTCTTTATGGGAGTCTCTTGTTTATCTTAAATAATAGGTATTGTTACCTACTTTTATCTCTGTGAATATGGCAAGAATGCAAAGTAACACGGTGTATATCTAGTTATTATCTTTAAAAGTAGAAACAATCAACTTTCTTTAACTTTATAAATAAGAAAAACTTACTTACTGTACATACATACATATTTTATGTGATGCAATAAATAAATGAATATGAATATGAAACAGATAATTACCATATTGAATACGTGGATTTACGACGTTGAATCTGGACATAAAACGCCATGTCTTTAGGCGTAAAAACCATTTTCAATTACGAGAGAGTTTTACGTCCTGGCTTAAAAAAATGTATGGTTGATACATCTTAACAAAAATACCAAAAACAAGCGTTCGGTTTTTACACTGTTTATAAGGTATTTATTTATCTTTTACGCTATAGTTTTTTGGGGCGTATAAAAATTTTTTTAGCGAATTTCAATATTTCGAATATACAGCTCGATAGAGAAAAAAATTCTGATTAAAATGGTATATATAACTCCATTTGGCCAAAATGGTTTATACGACAATTGAACCTGAAGGTGTCGATACTATTACTTAACTCTCCTTGTTTCCCCTGCTGCAACTCCTGTGGAGACTACAGTCGATCCGCAGACAACAAGCCAAGTTTTTCCCAAGGAAAGTTTAAAATATCATTGTGTCTACAAGAAAATTAAAAAAACGGAGTTTGATATTAGGGGCTTCTCTTCAGTGCAAAGCGGATGACAATTGACTAACAAAATAATAGACTAAGAGTGAAAAAAAGCCGAAACTTAACATAAAAATTAATTATTCCCAGATCAATTATAGCTCCGTCCCTAATAATCGCAAATTCAAATAAAATCATCACACTTCACTTCACACACTTCCCATTCCCACATTCTTCCCACATAAGTATGTATATTTTCTCATGCTCAACGACATCTTTTAGAAAAACTATACAAAATAATGTTTTTGATTCAAACTTAAGGTAACGGTACGGGGGTACCGAAGGTGAATGGCGTTTTCCCACTAGCTTCACTCCATAATTAGATTAGAACTGATGCGCTCTCTACATTTCACATTGCAGTCAAAATAAGTTACTTATTTCACACATATTTTATCTCCTCAATAGTGCAGGCAGAGATAGTATCCGCTAGGTGTACACATCCCAACACATTATCGTATCTCGAAGGGGCCTCTTCATGTTGGATACTGTATCCCCATGAACGCCTTCCAAAAGAACCGGCCTCCGTGCCGTGATTATCCACAGGAGAGATACAAATAATAATAACGTTTATTTAAAAAAATTATACAGTTACCATTACAGTTAATTTTAAAGTTCGTGTTTCAGATAAAAAGTTAAGAAACGTTAGCATGATAGAGTCATGTTAGAAACTTAGTACGAAACTTAGTGGAAACGATTTGTGACCTACTACTATAATTACCTACTCCATCCCACTAGAGTTCAGAAGAAGAAGTTAGGCTTTTTGCACTGTTCAAGAATTTTGTGGGACTACTGAACTATACCACACTGTATCGCGTACAGTAAGTTGAAAGTTATTTGCATACGATGTTTATCATCAAGAGCACTTCATTCAATTGCAGATCCTATGCGTAAGTGGTTTGGTGATTCCGAATGCTTATCTTTTCAATTAGATTTTCTTAGAATTATATTCATAGATTTTGAACTACTTTCTTCTGGTGACGTAGGAAGGTAGGTATTATCTACGATGAAAATAAATAAAGTACTATTAGGTATCCATTTTTAGCCGATTAAAAAAGATAATGGTCATTTTAATTTCAGATGTAACCACGAAGTTAATAATATTTGTGTTTGTTGTGTTATTTAATTACTTCGATTTTTATCATAATAATGTTTGTCATTAGGTAACCGCGAATTAGCTAAATCATAAAAAATAACAATGGAAATCTTTTTTATTGATTTTCCACACGATTTATCGCTTAAAAAAACTTACGCAATCTACTCACAGGTCTACCTTCCTAATTTAAGTTATCGTGTCTGTTCTGTAGATTGGAATTGATTGATTTTTTTCTAATGTTATGTTTAGTAGGTTTAAACGTAATTATTCGGACTACGAGTACCTACCTACGTGTACGTACCTAATTGATTGGCACGGAAATGTAGAGCGTCTCCTCAAAGATCGTTTGGGAGTGATTAAATCAAAACGACCAATGTTCAATAGGCAAAAGTTGGGGAAAAATCTTGGACGAATTACTTATTCGTAAGAGAAAAAGTGATTTTATAAGTTTACTTTAGATCGGACACCAGACAAGACCTTCCAGCCGTTTTCGTGTTTAGAAAATTGAACTCTCAGACGATTCGGATTTTCTGACCCTATGTTAGGTTAGGCACCTAGCTACGTAGGTTATAAAATTCTGATACTGATACGAATAAAATCATCTAGACTCTAGAGCATTGGTTCCCAAAGTGGGAGGCGCGCCCCCCAGGTGAGGCGCAAAGACTTTTAAAGGGGGGCCATCTGCGTACCTACTTAAGTATAAAAAACCTGTGACCGCTGAGAAAATACATTCCAGACTGCTCGATGCGACCAATAAATAATCTTGACTGGAGGAAGGGGGGCGTGTAATTTTTTGTATGGTCGAAAGGGGGCGCGTCTCAAATAAGTTAGGGAACCCCTGATCTAGAGTTTAGCTTGACATCATAAATCATCATCATATCAAGCTAAGCTCTGTGGGAGGATCTTATGTAGGTACCTACTTAGTTGCAATAGGTGGTGTTTTTCAACAAAAGTGTAATACATCTAAGGTGCCATCGATAACTAGAGCTGGTTTTTCTAGATGTTGCTGTTTCTCCTGGCGTTGTCGGCGGTGGGCCAGGTGCGAGGGCACGGCAGGGTCCTGGACCCGCCTTCCAGGGCCACAGCCTGGAGATATGGGTTCGATACGGAGCCCAACTATGACGACGACGGGCTCAACTGCGGAGGATTTTATTATCAGTGGTCGGTTAACGGTGGAAAGTAAGTAGGCTACTGTCAGCTCTATCCCTTAGGATGAAGGAGAAGCGGTTCTTTTACTCGCACGAGAGTTAAAGTAAACTATCAAACGCTCTTAGATTTTTCTGTTAACTGGTCCCAGTTAGAGTTTCACATCGATCAATGACGTGGGACGTCTACCCACAAGATGGACATTATAAAGGTGACATTATAAAGGTAGCAAGAAGGCACTAAATGCAGACTGCATCCAGTCAGCCAAAGTATAAATCATTAGGGGAGGCCTACGTTCAGCAGTAGACGTTATGTAGCTGAAATGATGATGCTCTATCAAAAACAGCCTAATCACATGAAAATTCGTTCGTTCGTTTCAGCCAAATGACGTCCACTGCTGGACAAAGGCCTCCTCTAAGGTTTTCCACAATGCACGGTCCTGCGCTGCCCGCATCCAGGCTCTTCCCGCGACCTTTACCAGATCGTCGGTCCAAATTCGTAATCTGACTTAAATGGTAGATCAGAGTAACCCTTCAAACTTCCAGATGCGGGATTTGCGGCGACGCGTACGACTTAAAAGAGCCCAGACCTCACGAGCTGGGCGGGGTGTACGGCACCGGTGTCATCGTCAGCCGGCACCTGCCCGGCGCGCTTATCACCACCACCGTCGAGCTCACCACCTCCCACCAGGGCTACTGGACCTTCAAGCTCTGTCCAGACCCCAACAACAACCACCAGGAGTGCTTCGACAGACATATCCTCGAACTTGAAGAAGGAGGGACGCTGTACTACCCCAAAAAGGGTAGTATAAAGTATGAAGTCACTTACAGACTCCCTCCAGGAATAGTCTGCGACCACTGCGTTCTTCAGTGGAGGTACACAGCAGGGAACAACTGGGGCGACTGTAAGAATGGCACCCAAGGACTTGGTTGCGGCAACCAGGAGCAGTTTGGGGCCTGCTCCGATATCTCCATTGGGGTATCGAGGAACGAGTTGGAAGACAGCAAAACTCCTCAGGAATATGGGGAGATTCCTTACCCCTTGTTGTATTACCTGAAACACGGCTACTTCGACTCCCAGCAAGGTAAGGAAGTTGAAGAAGTAGACGTGGACAGCAATAACCTTGGCGCTGATTGAGTTTAGCAAACTAACTGATAGTGCACTGTATATTAATTAACGTAGTTACCTTTTAGTTCTAGTTTAACCCAATATACTAATTAGTTCCACCATTTTTTGGGGAAAATTCTAACAAAAGGTAAATTAATTTATCAATTAAGTGTAACTTTATTATATTTCCATGAAAATTGAAATCATATTTCACTACATCATAAGGTTTCGTTGAAAAACCTTGAAAATATTACAAAAATTCGTTAATTTCTATGAAAATTAAAATATTACCTGAATGTTTTGTAGCAAAACAACATAATTGCCTATTTTCCTGGAAATACAAGACTCATGTTCACTTGATGTTAATTTTATTAACTTTGATTTCACTTAGCAATTCTAGCTAATAAATAATCGTAGCTAGCAACTTTATAATTTAATAATGTAGCCTGTTACAGTAGCGTAATTGATTAATTGTGTTGTCAAGTATTTGATAGATTTTAACAGATTCTAATGTAAGTACATATTATGTATCCAAAGAAAAAAAATATACATAGGAGGTGTATCAAATTACACAATTTGTATCGTGATGTTACTTTATGAACCTAGTTCTAAGTCAGTAAACTGACATATTATTATATTAGATAGACAGACATTATGCAATAGAGACCTCTACAATTAATGGTCAAAAACTGAAAATAAATGTTATTTTACTGACTCGGAATAAAAAATTCTTATTGATGTATTTAAAAACCTGTGATTTAAATAAGGGATAATTAAACATAAGCTTTGTGCAGTAATGTATTCAGTTACTGGCATGAAGGAAGTCAATATTTAATAAATATTTAGAAAATGTAGAGTTTCTTTCTTCGATTGAACCCACGCGTTGTTTCACTCACTACTAGATATTGATGAAGTAGGTATTAACATAACTTTTACTAGTAAGTAGCTAGTTGAAGAAAAGAAAGTGTAGCATAGTTCACAGTGTACATAGTAACTAGTTAACCAGAGGCTGTATATTATGTATTTAGTATTTACGTCTAGGTACACAACTTGCTTTCTAAACTCTACTCGCCGACTAATTCTGCATGTATAGTGAGTCTGGGAAATTTGCATCTACGCAAAATTGATTTGCACAAAAGTAAGTACCACTTTATGTTTCATTTTTCTATTTAATGATCCAAGGAGGCATGGCATATTTCAAGTATAAAAAATTAACAATTTAATCTTTTATAATTTAATTTGTTATTTTAACCATACTTACTTACTTAACGTTATGTTAGAAAGTCACTTTGGTTTTGTACTTTCGACCCTGGTCCCAGGTATTAAAGCTATGGTCAGAAATAAATATAATTGATATTTTAGAGTTAGAATTATCGAGTCGTATGTGGAATAACTGGTATGATAGTGACTGTAGTAGTAGGTAGTTTACATTTAATGCTGTTTTCAGTCAATTTAAAGTAGAGCGTTTTGTTCAGGTGCTACGAAAACAACCTACTTTCGGCTGACTGTACATTGGTAGTACCTATTGGTACATTGCTACGCGCATTGTCGCATCACCTGTTACATATTAATAAATGAATCACGGTACATCGCAAGGAATTTTAATACATGATTTACCACACACTCGGATCTGAAGTGTCATTGTATCGTGACGCACAAAGAGCATTTGATAATGTCTCCGTACCCCCATTGTTTGGTTTGGACAAGGACCGACTTTCGTGGCAAACAAAACACTCGTTAGCTTAAGCTAAATCGTGGAATAAGTAATTAATTTATTCGGTTAGAGCCTGTCTACGGCATTCGTTCAGAAAAAAAGAATTTTATTACCGTAGCATCAAAGGAGCTTTCATAAATGAAGCTAATTTTCGTGACCAGTTGAAAGTACTTTATTGTCTGAATGTAGATTCTTTAGCTCAAGCCTCAATCAGTACCTCTAGTAGGAAAAACTTTCGAGTTCGTTTCGTTGCGTATTCAAAGTGTCATCGAAAAATTTTGTATGAAAAATTAAACAGCGCCCCCTAGGGCGGCTATAATATAGGGGGCGCTGTTTAATTTTTCATACAAAATTTTTTGTTGTTTAATTTTTCATAAAAAATACAACGAAACGAACTCGAAAGTTTTTCCTACTAGAGGTACAGTACCTCTAGTACGAAAAACTTTCGAGTTCGTTTCGTTTGCGTATTCAAAGTGTCATCGAAAAATTTTGAATAAAAAATTAAACAGCGCCCCCTATATTATAGCCGCCCTAGGGGGCGCTGTTTAATTTTTCANAGTACGAAAAACTTTCGAGTTCGTTTCGTTTGCGTATTCAAAGTGTCATCGAAAAATTTTGAATAAAAAATTAAACAGCGCCCCCTATATTATAGCCGCCCTAGGGGGCGCTGTTTAATTTTTCATACAAAATTTTTCGATGACACTTTGAATACGCAAACGAAACGAACTCGAAAGTTTTTCGTACTAGAGGTACAGGTCACTAGTGCTAGTACTGCCGATACGCGTTTTTTATTACATTTCTTTTCGTTCAAACGTGGACAATCGGTCGCCTAGGCATATTAAATTAACCTTACCTCGAGTATAGGAAGTGATTAGTAATCCACGAGGATTTAGGCTAAAAGTAGTTACAGTTAACAGGTAGGTACGAATCTTCGGGATATTACCTACCTAGTTTACAGTCGTTAATTATAAATGTTACCACCTTATATTATGTATGGCAGTCCTAGGGGGTTCGTTATTGTCATGAACTTGAACGATCTCGTGTTTTTAAACGCACGTATGATGGGAATATGACCTAAAATCGGTTAGTTGAGACAGCGTTTTCATAACTTGTTTTGCCCTGGTTCAGCCGGTTATTTTTATGCTTCCCTTCGTGACCCAGTCAGTCATAAAAGATTATCTATACGATCATGTTCGGGTATGATGATAAATGAGTCTAACCCGGTTTTTGGTAATTTGACTGTCCGATGCTGGGTTACGCCTCCCAGTTTTTGGAGATTTTCATTAAAAATTACTTGCTCTTCATATGTAGGCACAAATCAAGTGGCAGTGGGCGGGGCACATAGCTCGTAGAGCTGATGGCCACTGGGGCAGGAAAGTTCTTGAGCGGCGACCACGAGCCGGAAGACGTAGCGTGGGCAGGCCTCCCACTAGGTGGACCGACGATCTGGTGAAGTTCGCGGGAGGTGCCTGGATGCGAGCGGCGCAGGACCGGTCTTTGTGGAAATCCTTGGGGAGGCCTTTGTCCAGCAGTGGACGTTTTTCGGCTGAAACGAACAAACGAACGAACATGTAGGTACACGGTGATCAATGTAGGAACGGTTGTTATGGCCTAGTACCACAGCTAATACCTACTGCACGGACTTAACATGCTCGCCGAAGCACGGAAATCGTAGGTACTTTCCTTTAGTCGAACGCCAGTGTAAACTCACTTTTCTCCAGTTTGGTTAGGACCAGTTACGACATTGTTAGCGTACTTCCTCGTTTTTTTATTTTTCGCTTGTTTTAGAGGATTTTTTCAGCCAAATATATAAAGTTTAAACCTTGGTACCTCCAGGAATCCTGCACCTCATACGTAAGACCCCAGTGAGGAAACAGCCGCAGAAACAGCGGCCCAATAGCAAGTTCACTCGCAGACGGAACAAGGGAAAGAAGAAAAAGCCAAGGAAGAGAAAAAAGGTTCGTGACTCTATAATTGTTATAAAGAGAAATATTTTTCATTGGTTTTGAACCATAAAAACATCAAAATATTGGTGATATCAAAGCCACTAATTATGTAAAGCCAAAGCTCCTCTTTTGATATCCTAATGGATATCAAAAGAGGAGCTTTGGCTCAAAAAAAACAAAAAAAACAAACAAAATTTTCGCACTTATCTAATGATAAGTGCGAAAATTTTGTCAAAACTGAATAAAGATATTTCATTTGATTTGTGCTTTCAACCAAATTAACTAAAAATCCTTCTACCCGCGTCTACTTCGCCAGTTAAAATTTTTTGGTCTATCAGAAAGCCTATAACCGCTATAATAACTTGATTTAAATATGTATATGAATTTTCAGATTCATTTACCTACTCATGTAGGGACCTCAAACTTCCATTTTTTATTCTCATTGTTATTTCGTGCACCAAAGATAATATTGATCCTTTGTCCAATTATTTGCACCAAACAATTATTTATTTCTATATGCAATGTTTATGTTTTCTGTTTATAATTTCTCTTTTCCAGGTTTTACATTGGAAATAACATTTAATGACCGTTGACAAACAGAATTGCATTTAAGAAGCTGGAGTATCAAAAACTGTTAACAGCAAAAGTGGTATATTAAAAACCGAAAATAGCTATAATTAAAATTTCATATACTTTTGCCGTTATCGGAATATAGTAAACCCCGGTCGAGTTAAGGCGGTTATCACACTGCGCCGCGCTCCGCCGCGGAGCGCGTGATTTCATATAAAAAATCCCGCGCGCAGACGCGTTGTCAGTGTGAAGTGCCGCTCGTGTTTTCTATACAAACTGAGGTATTTGCATACAATGATTAAATCTGTCGTCCCGCGTACCGCGGCGAAGCGCGGCGCAGTGTGATAACCGCCTAAATGCGCACCCGGCGGCCGTGACGTCACATCGACGCTTTGGACGAACGCGAGATGTACGGATGAGTGCGAGGGAGTCGCATTCTAATTCGAGGTGCGCAGTTAACTCAACCGGGTAGTAAGTAATTATACAAAAAATAAAACAAATCTTCGAACTTTAATCCTTTTATTTACACAATAATTATAATCGCGTCATCAAATAACGACCTAATGCTTTTTACAGATAATAAAAGTTGCAAACTTGTCAACTAAACCTTTAGGTTCCGAGTTCCCATAGTTGACTAACTACAAAGCAATCACATCACTATAACGACTACTACTAGTTGCATCCCTATCTTTCCGATTACGTCAGAAAGAGATGAAATGAGTGCATCACTCTTGTTTTAATAAAAAGGCAAACAAAAGCTCCTAATATCACGAATTGCCTTTACAGGTAATGATTTAGGACAACAGTAATAATAAAAGGCCTAGACATTACCAACAATTCAATTTTTCTCCGCTAGATGGCGTTAAATCATGATATTTGAATAACGACAAATATTGGTAATTTCTAGACGTTTTAACATAATATTAGAAAATAAATACAACTTTAACAAAAAAAACTTGACCAAGTATAAAAAGAAAACAAAAACAAACATGTAAAAGCATGAAATCACTGGTTATAAATTGTAACGACACATTTATGTTCACAATTTTATGGTTCATAGACATAACCAAGAATAAAACGAAAAATATTGTTTTCCAATTTCTTGAATATTCGTGAAATGTGCTAATGACTTGATAACAGTAAGCAATAATTTTAAGGCATAACCTCAAAATTACATAGTAAGAATCTGTACTTATGTATTTTTCAATAAGCTACAAGCTCCGATCTATGTTGACAAATATTCAAGAATTTAGGGATCAATACATTGGACCAAGTGATAATAACAATGCCTATTTCAGTGAACTTTAATAATAATCTCTCAATGTGGTCTTAGATAAGTGATGAACAAACGATATTGTCTAACTAAGATTATACTCTAACTGCATGACAAATCTAGGTAAATACAAATTTACAAAACATACAAAATATTTAACTTAACAATTTTAACACAGCCCGCACCAAATAGTCGAAAGCTAAACATACAAATGCACACAGTTATAAGACCAGTTAAATACATAGATATTTACGTAACGCAACCAACATTACTACATATTTATTTTGGGAAGCAACAGCACCTAGATCAAATACTACCTATAACACCTTTTTATTCAACTACAGTTTGTATTTAAGTTTTATTTAGTTGAGATATTTTTACGCTATATACAAACAAAGACAGCTGTTAGATGAATAAGTATATGTTTCATATTTTTATTCTACTTATTGATGATAAATTACTATAAATTACAGCTTGTATGATACTGGGATATATATTTTTATTATTATATCTGTTAATTTTAGATCATCTACAAACACGAGATAAACGATTTGATTTTATTCATTCATAATTTAAAACTTCATAATATCAATTTCTAATATCTTTTTTTTTAAATATAACTTTCAGGTACATATTCAATCGCGGTTTGACCAAATATCTAATATCAAAATATACACAACAAAAGTATGTGAAATCATTATAATTTAGTATCTGTTTATGATTAATAACTATATTTTAACAATCAATTTTCCAATTATACAGTTAAATAATATGGTCGAGCATAACTTGGTTTCTCTAGGCGCTGCGAATAATATACAATAATATATTTTAAATAAAAACAAATCTAGCAAAATATTTACAACTTTGCAATTTCATTTTGCGTTTGGAAAACGCCGTATAATTTTACATCAGTTCTCTGAATCTACTGCTGATTTATACACTTATTTTTCAGTGACGTTCAATTGGTACTAGATTTGACATCATTAACTGGATTAACATTCATTCATAGCTGTTATGTTCCAGAATATTTATTAATCTAAGAATCTACACCCTATCTACTTTAGAATCCAATATCTTTGTCATTTCATTCATGCACCCAATAATATTATGTCCTATTGCAATTTATCCCCCGTTTTTTATTTCAGCATCAGCTATTGCTAATAGTAATTGTCTATTGCCTTTTGTGTGTAATTCACATTTATGTCGTCATTGTGTTTAATGCAAAAAAAAATCCATTTTGCCACACTATCATCTTAGTAGTTCGTAATTATTATATTACACTAACCAGTCTGAAAGTAAGGTTCCAACAGGCGTAACAATGCTCAATCACACAAGAAATAGTTTTCGGTGGACGCAGCTATTTCGGAGCAACAAACAAATAAATACATTTTTCACACAAAATCACTTCTGATGGAAACTCACTTCAACACTGGTCTGAACTTCGGATATTCACGGTTGAATTACTCAGATAATTACTGTGTTTCACAACAAATCACACTTTTCTAAGTACCAACACATCACACTCACATTTTAGATATGTATTTAAACATAACACTTACATTTACTGGTAACAACGAATATTGCTCCATATTGATATTTTCAAGCTGTCGAAGCAGTGATTTTGAAGTTTTAAATTACTATTTAACAACAATTTCATGACCATTTCGTGCCCAAACAACTGCACGATGGAAGATTTTAATGAAGTCTACTGACAACGCCACTCTTGTGGCGGAGTTTTAGGCTGCCACTGTGTAGGTTTGTTGTCGACGCGACAAGAAGTAGAACAATTTCATTTCGACTATAGACTCTTAAAGAAATAATTTAAGAACCGAATTTCAGCTTTAAGACATTTTGTGCTTATATGATCCAACAAGGATACTTCTTCATCATCCAAAAACTACAATGCCGATTATAAGGCCGCAATCAAACTTCAAGATTCGCCAACTAAGGTCACAAATGAAATAGGTCAAGATGATCGTAAATTATATGATTCATGGCCTAGTAAATCTGTAAAAATCTGTCTCATGCATACATGTTAGTGATTTATAGTACAAATATTAGGCATAAATAGTGCAGTACTAAGGAACTTTGGGTTTATGAGTTGACCACGATATACGATAGGTTATGACGTGATTCCAAGCCAACAATTTACAGTATTGCTACACTCAAAAATATTTTCTCAAAACCGTTATTCCAACATGGCAACACTGTTATACCATAGATCTTCTAATCCCAAACCAAAAACCGGTACTTTAGCATGGCAACAATGACGTCACGAGACAAAAAAGGCGAAAAGAAGTTCACTCACACAGTTATCATCAATCCATTCGACTTTACACAAGTTACACTTTCACATCGCATTCCAAAGTCGACTCTATTTCCTGGAGATAGGATCTTAAATCAAGTACTATAACTACAATTGTGTCCAAACACATGCCCATGGCGTACCAAAGTAGACTTTATCCCCGAGGATAGGGTGTAGTTGAGTTCTAAGTTACGAATAGACAGTTTGACACCATACCCCAATAATTCGAAACCACAAGTTTTCTAAAAAGACCCTTCATTCTGGTCTTAAAAACTTAATAAATTTTAAATTACCTGTAAATTACAATTTTTGTTCGCATTGTAATTGAAAAAAATATTTTGATTGAGTTGACAAAATAGTGACGTCACTTGCTTGTAGTGCCATACAAAATCTATGGGAGAGTTTCGTTTTGACAGTTTTAAACAGTACGTCAATTGATTGGTGGTGTCAACATGTCTATTGTGGTGCAGTCTCGTACCATTCTAAAGTCGACTTTATCATCCAAGGATAGAGTCTAATCGAATACTAAGTTACATGTCACAGTCCCATGGCATTCCAAAGTCGACTCATCCCCCAAGGACGGTCTATGCAAATACAAAACTGGTATCAGTTCCATGCCGTTCTAAAGTAAACTTTATCCACCGGGAAGAGAGTCTAATTGAGAACTAATCTAGTAAAGTAATATACTACAGACGTGTTACAGTCTCACGGCATTGCAAAGTCGACTCTACTCTTCGGGAAAAGAGTCGAATCTAATCGAACTAATCGAGTACTTAGTTACAATACTTACAGTCCCATGGCGTTCCAAAGTCGACTTTATTCCCCAAGAAAAGAGTCTAACTTGGTTTACACAGTTCCACGGCATTCTAAAGTCGACTCTACTCCCCGGGAAGAGAGTCGATTATCTGAGTAATAAGTTACAATTCTTACAGTCCCATGGCGTTCCAAAGTCGACTTCATCCCCAGAGGACAGAGTCCATACAAAACTTGGTACACACAGTTCCATGCTGTTCTACAGTAGACTTTATCCACCGGGAAGAGTCTAATCGAGAACTAATCTAGTAAAGTAATATACTACAGACGTGTTACAGTATCACGGCATTGGAAAATCGACTCTACTCCCCGGGAAAACAGTCGATTATCTAATTGAGTACTAAGTTACAATTCTTACAGTCCCATGGCGTTCCAAAGTCGACTCATCCCCCAAGGACGGTCTATGCAAATACAAAACTGGTATCAGTTCCATGCCGTTCTAAAGTAAACTTTATCCATTGGGGAGAGAGTCTAATTGAGAACTAATCTAGTAAAGTAATATACTACAGACGTGTTACAGTCTCACGGCATTGCAAAATCGACCTTACTCCCCGGGAAAAGAGTCGATTATCTAATTGAGTACTAAGTTACAAATCTTACAGTCCCATGGCGTTCCAAAGTCGACTTTATCCCCAGAGGACAGAGTCCATACAAAACTTGGTACACACAGTTCCATGCTGTTCTAAAGTAGACTTTATCCACCGGGAAGAGTCTAATCGAGAACTAATCTAGTAAAGTTATATGCTATAGACGTGTTACAGTATCACGGCATTGGAAAATCGACTCTACTCCCCGGGAAAACAGTCGATTATCTAACTGAGTACTAAGTTACAATTCTTACAGTCCCATGGCATTCCAAAGTCGACTTTATCCCCCGGGGACAGAGTCCATACAAAACTTGGTAAGTAATATGCTACAAACGTGTTGCACAGTCCCACGGCATTGCAAAATCGACCTTACTCCCCGGGAAAAGAGTCGATTATCTAATTGAGTACTAAGTTACAAATCTTACAGTCCCATGGCGTTCCAAAGTCGACTTTATCCCCAGAGGACAGAGTCCATACAAAACTTGGTACACACAGTTCCATGCTGTTCTACAGTAGACTTTATCCACCGGGAAGAGAGTCTAATCGAGAACTAATCTAGTAAAATAATATACTACAGACGTCTTACAGTCTCACGGCATTGCAAAATCGACTCTACTCTTCGGGAAAAGAGTCGAATCTAATCGAACTAATCGAGTACTTAGTTACAATACTTACAGTCCCATGGCGTTGCAAAGTAGACTTTATTCCCCAGGAAAAGAATCTAATCGAGTACTATACTACACTTGGTTTACACAGTTCCACGGCATTCTAAAGTCGACTGTACTCCCCGGGAAAAGAGTCGATTATCTAACTGAGTACTAAGTTACAATTCTTACAGTCCCATGGCGTTCCAAAGTCGACTCTACCCCCTTATTATAGGGTCTAGTCAAGCTCTATCCGCATGTTTGGAGGGAGAGTGCCGCAGTGCAGTTTGGACTCCCTTAGTTTTGCCAGCGAGAGGCGGAGGTCTTCCATGGTGATTGGGCGCACGGCGTCTACGTATTCGTCGTCGGATTCTGTATGGTTGGATTTCTGGCTGGTTTTGCTCTGAGGAGAAAGAAAATAAGTATTTATTAGGAAACGCAACTGCTAAGTTGTAACGTTGCAGTTCAGCTGTTTTTCACAAATTGATTTTCTTACTCGATATTTAAATTTAGGATACCACTAACGACATCTATTGGCGTGATTTAGAAGTAGTTTACAATAGATGGCGCTTTTGCTCAGTCAATTCAAATATACTATTTTAATGAAACATAATTCCTAATCGACCAAAATTCCAAAGTGATTTGACAGCTCAACTGACAGTCGCGAGTCCATCGACATCGCGAGACGTTTCGTTTCGCCGCTTAAAAAAGTAAATTATGTACTAATGAAAAACAATTTCCAGAACACTGAAAATATTCTATTTAAAAATAGAATAATCAAAATAAAAAAATTAGGAAATGTTTCATTAAAATAGTATATTTGAATTGACTGAGCAAAAAGCGCCATCTATTGCAAACTGCTTCTAAATCACGCCAATAGATGTCGTTAGTGGTATCCTAAATCCAAATATCGAGTAAGAAAATCAATTCGTGAAAAACAGCTGAACTGCAACGTTACAAAGTTTACAACGTAAAATGTACTAAAATCTCGTAACAAATCAATTAGTCTAACTACTACTTTTGCAACCGATACCTCAGGCATAATTCTCAAAAATAGCCAGGGATAGGCCACCAGAGACCGCTGCACACAGTTCTTTTGTTGTAAAGTTACAGTTCTTTCTACCCGCAAAGTTTTTCAGTATCCAAATACGAGGGGCGGCTGAAAAGTTTTGAGCCTAGGGTATTAAAAATGCCGATAGAAAAGTATAAAAAATTTATTTTTTTATTTAATCTCCCTCTACTACAATGGACTTCTTACATTTGTGTAAAAGAGCTTTTAACCCACTGAAAAAAAATTCGCAATCTTTGCCTTCGAAATGAGCCTTTAACACCGCTTTCATTTCTTTGTCACTCAAAAATTTATGTTCCTGGAGGTCTTTTTTCCAATTTGAGAATTAGACAAAATAGCTAGGGATTTGGACTAAACTGTGTGGTGGGTAATTAATTTCTTGAAATCCAGTTTTACCCGGGGCAAGCCATGCAAAATGCGCGGTGTGCGCGGGCGAATTGTTTTGCAATAACAGATTTCCTTTCGCCAGTTTGCCTCTTAATATTTCAACAACCACTTGACGCACTTTTATCAGCAGTACAGCATAATAATCCCCGTTTATTGTAGTTTTTTTAAGTAGGTAGTCAATGAATGAAATTTGTCCACAATCCCAAAAATAGTGGCTATGAGCTTGGGTGTCGATCGCTCCACTTTGAATTTCCGCGGCGGCGTTTTCCCTTTTGAATCCATTGCATTGACTCTTATTTTGACTCTAGATCGTACTGCCGGATCTATTATTTATTAATAGTGACAATGTGAGAAAAAAATTTGTTAGGAGTATGGCCAAAGATGTCCTAAAACTCCTGCGAAGTTGTGACTCGACGCTGGTTGTCGAACGGCGTGAGCATTTTTGGCACCCATCGCACGCACCCCTATTTCATGTGCAAATGAGTATGAAAAATATCGCCAATACGTTCCTTGTTAATGCCTATGGCTTCAGCTATATGTCACAGCTTAATTCACTGATCTCTAAAGCAATATTCTTTAAATATTCATTATTTTATTCGATAATGGCGAAATCTGGCCGCTCTGACTTGCGGTCATCTTTTAGCGACTCCCTGCCATGCTTGAACTATCGGATCCAATCTTTCATGGTGGCAAATGAAGGCCCAGACTCCCCATAAACTGTAGACATCTCTTCAAATGATACCGTCAGCGTTTTGTTCCTCTTTTTGAGGTATTTTATGACAACTGTGTACTTCAATTTCGTACATTGCGCGGATGACTGAGACATGATGTTGTTTACGGATGAATTACTAAAAGACTGATGACGCTAATGAAATGAAACTTTGTACATATACTAAGGAGGTTATTGGCAAATTAATTAAATTTAGCGCGAGTCCATAATAACACTTGAAGATACTTAGGCTCAAAACTTTTCAGCCACCCCTCGTACATAGGATCTCAGAGCTAGTCGGTTTGTTTGTCAAATCGCGAGCGCGAATTCGCACACTGTAATAAAAAACCGGCCAAGTGCGTGTCGGATTCACGCAAAAAGGGTTCCGTACCATTGATTTATGAAATTATTTTTTTTTTAATTTATTTGTATGAAAGATTACGCGGTAATAAGCGGTTTACGATTTACGAGGTATTAAAAAAAAACTACTTACTAGATCTTGTTCAAAACAATTTTCGTTGGTAGTTTTTATAGTAATGTACATCATGTTTTTTTTAGATTTTTCATTTTCTTATTTTANACCAACTATTTTCCACTTTGGAAGCGTCTGTCACGCAAACTATTCGGTTTAGAAAAAAAATATTTTAGAAACCACGATATCATTTTTGAAGACCTATCCATAGATACACGTATGTGTTTGATGAAAAAAAAAATTTTGAGTTTCAGTTCTAAGTATGGGGAGCCCCCAATATTTATTATTATTTTTTTATTTTTGCATCAAAATCTTAATGCGGTTCACAGAATACATCTACTTACCAAGTTTCAACAGTATAGCTCTAGTTTCGGAAAAAAATGGCTGTGACATACGGACGGACAGACGGACGGACGGACGGACGGACAGACAGACATGACGAATCTATAAAGGTTCCGTTTTTTGCCATTTGGCTACGGAACCCTAAAAAGGTTTGAGTCCAACTACAACTCGCGCGCACTCGCGTTTCACAATGCAAGTTAACGAACAATTCAGCTAGCCACAACTTCTTGAATACCGGTTTGAGTAAACTTAACTATGATGTTACCGAAGCCCGATCTAGGCAAAGCATAGGATAGGCTAGGGCTTCCAATCCCGCACCCCATGCTCGATCCCGGTATTGGCGGGAGTTGGAATTCAAATCCCGCGGGATCCCGGTATTGGCGGGATCCCGCATATAATTATGAAAAATATTATGTGAGGCAAATAAAACAATACCTACATTAATCAAATTAAATCAACGTAATTTCACTTTAATTAACGTTAAATGAGATCAATCAAATTACACTTCAATTACTGAGATCAAATATAAAAATATAATCAAGTACAATAGAAAAAAACAGTTTCAGCTGAATGATAAGAATTATTTAGTTTCTTTCATATTTTTGTTATCATTCAATTGGAAATATTTGCGAAGAAAACATAGTATGTCTAAAGTGTTGTCTGCCAAACTGCAGCGTATTTTAGAGGCAATATAGCCAGCAGCAGAAGAGGCTCTTTCGGCTTCCACACTAGTCGGTGGTATTCCTTTTAAAGAATTATATGTAAATGTGAGATATCTTTACAGTCCCGCAAATCCCGCGGGATCCCGCACCCGTAATCCCGCAGCACGCGGGACTAAAAAATGATGCGGGATCCCGGAATACCGAGATACCCTATCCGATAGGCAGGTGTCATATAAAAGGTGTTTCGTGTGTATACACACCTGTTCGTTGTCGCGGCGCATCTCGTCACGTGCTAAGTCCCGCACTCTGTATACAGCGGCCTGGCGACACAGTTCATGTAGGTCCGAGCCCGAGAAGCCTTCTGTGGCCGACGCTAGGCGCTTAAAGTCGATCTGAAAGGAATATTTTATGATGAAACGAGGTAAGTATAATGGGACTAGTAAGAAAATCGTCGATAGAAAAAGACACGATAAACGTTATATGCAAAATATCGTCCGTTCGTTTCAGCCAAATCATGTCCACTGCTGGAAAAAGGCCTCCTCCAACACAAAAATCATGTCAAATTGTCCGTGTTGCACACACTCCTCTGAAGGTTGGACGACTCTACACTCGAAGTTGTGGACCGCTGGATCGCCTCGTGCAGGTCCTGCATGACTCACGTCGCGCGCCACGGGCTCGGAGCGCAGGATGAGCTGCAGGATGCGCTCGCGCTGCGCGTCGCTCGGCATGGGCACGTGGAAGGTGGCGGGCATGCGGCGCTGGATCGCCTCGTGCAGGTCCTGCATGACTCACGTCGCGCGCCACGGGCTCGGAGCGCAGGATGAGCTGCAGGATGCGCTCGCGCTGCGCGTCGCTCGGCATGGGCACGTGGAAGGTGGCGGGCATGCGGCGCTGGATCGCCTCGTGCAGGTCCTGCATGACTCACGTCGCGCGCCACGGGCTCGGAGCGCAGGATGAGCTGCAGGATGCGCTCGCGCTGCGCGTCGCTCGGCATGGGCACGTGGAAGGTGGCGGGCATGCGGCGCTGGATCGCCTCGTGCAGGTCCTGCATGACTCACGTCGCGCGCCACGGGCTCGGAGCGCAGGATGAGCTGCAGGATGCGCTCGCGCTGCGCGTCGCTCGGCATGGGCACGTGGAAGGTGGCGGGCATGCGGCGCTGGATCGCCTCGTGCAGGTCCTGCATGACTCACGTCGCGCGCCACGGGCTCGGAGCGCAGGATGAGCTGCAGGATGCGCTCGCGCTGCGCGTCGCTCGGCATGGGCACGTGGAAGGTGGCGGGCATGCGGCGCTGGATCGCCTCGTGCAGGTCCTGCATGACTCACGTCGCGCGCCACGGGCTCGGAGCGCAGGATGAGCTGCAGGATGCGCTCGCGCTGCGCGTCGCTCGGCATGGGCACGTGGAAGGTGGCGGGCATGCGGCGCTGGATCGCCTCGTGCAGGTCCTGCATGACTCACGTCGCGCGCCACGGGCTCGGAGCGCAGGATGAGCTGCAGGATGCGCTCGCGCTGCGCGTCGCTCGGCATGGGCACGTGGAAGGTGGCGGGCATGCGGCGCTGGATCGCCTCGTGCAGGTCCTGCATGACTCACGTCGCGCGCCACGGGCTCGGAGCGCAGGATGAGCTGCAGGATGCGCTCGCGCTGCGCGTCGCTCGGCATGGGCACGTGGAAGGTGGCGGGCATGCGGCGCTGGATCGCCTCGTGCAGGTCCTGCATGACTCACGTCGCGCGCCACGGGCTCGGAGCGCAGGATGAGCTGCAGGATGCGCTCGCGCTGCGCGTCGCTCGGCATGGGCACGTGGAAGGTGGCGGGCATGCGGCGCTGGATCGCCTCGTGCAGGTCCTGCATGACTCACGTCGCGCGCCACGGGCTCGGAGCGCAGGATGAGCTGCAGGATGCGCTCGCGCTGCGCGTCGCTCGGCATGGGCACGTGGAAGGTGGCGGGCATGCGGCGCTGGATCGCCTTGTCCAGGTCCTGCGGCCGGTTCGTCGCTCCTGCAATGCAAGTCAACTTCAACTTTATCCCTTTACCAAGCCTAAAAAAAAGTAATGAGGGTTTTCGCGAATGAAAAATCCGCCAGATAGCAATACGTAGACGCGAGGTCCAAATGCTGCATGATTGGTTATTTTTGACATGACATTGACAGATATGTCAAAATCCACCAATCACGCAGCAGTCAGACCCTACATCCACGTCCCGCCATCTAGCGGGTCTTTCATTCGCAAAAACCCTCATTGGTTTTTAATAATATCTTCACAGTATAAGGTTCAAATTGATGTGGTCTCTGTGGATACCAGAGCCTGGTTAAGGGTTAAATTGCTGGGATAGAACAGATTATTGTGTGTATTGGCTCCTAAACATTAGAAGAGGTTTTTGAGTACAAACTGTAGTGTTTCGAATCATCATTATCCGGTCATTAATCTTCACTGTAGGAGCACGCCTTTCTTCAATTTACCAATTGCAAGTGGGGGATTCAGCCTACACTGACCAGATTTATAATTTTAGCAAGCTAATTAGCGTGCGTTTAGTTATAAAATTATAATATTTTTGTTCTTCTTTCACACAAAAACAGATTTTCTGTGAGCCTTCAAGCAGCTTTCTAAATAAATAAATAAATTGATGAAGCTTAACAGTAACGGGCAATCTGGAAACCATTGGAAGAAGCCTATCCTCACAGCGAGCACCCTTCGGGAGGAGAACGCCCTCTATAAAGTGAGTGAAAAGGCGCGCGCGCTTCAGAGCATCCGTCTTCAATTCGCGAAAGTAGAGGATCCCATGAGATTTTAGTGGCTGAAAAATTTAACTCCGACAAACGTTACCTCGGGGTTAGAAAGGATATTCGCCTTTGTCTGAGTAGTGTAGTGTCGAAGTAAAGTCCTATTGTTATTCAGTAGTGTCGGAGTAACGTAATGTCGAAGTAATGTTTGTCGGAGTTTACTTAGGTAGCCGGTTTTAGTAGATAAGCCCCGCCCCTCTGAGAGTCCCATATAACCGGCTGCCCTCGTGGCCCGGGGTATATGCGCAAAGCATTTCCTCGTGTAAAATAGGCTTATATTCTGCAGTGGACGTTCTGTTGCTGGAATGATGATGAACACTAAGTGCTTGTTCACGTAGGCACGCGCGGGCGCGGGTAACGTCGCGAGCTCGTGTTCATATTGACGACCAGGCGTTCGCGCGATTGTGACGTATTGTCAGAGGTCGAATTATGGACGACGATCTTTTATTTTTAACCGAAAATTCATACCTAAAGTGGGAGATGCTAAAAATTAGAATTGGTGTTTTGTAACTATAAGGTGAGTTTAAAAAAAGATTTTCTTAGTAAGTAATTTATAATTTTCAATCAAAATCAAATTCAAACAAGGTTCCTCTTTATTATTTAATTTAATTAATATTATCGTTATCAACTAAACAACATTTCTGTTCATATGATGACTTACTTTGCCAAATAGGAGTTCTAGCCTGAATAGCACTAATAAACTCTTCTGTATTGAACGACATGATAAAAACGTGCTATCGTTTCTAGCGACAAGATCAAACTGGTTGAACTTACCTGACGTCGCGAGTGAAACGCGCGCGCCGCCGCTAGTTTGACATGAACACACACAAACATCTTCACGCGTTGAAATTACCGCGAGCGATCCGCGCGCGCCAGTCGCTAGCTTGCCCGCTAGTTAGACCGCACGTGCGTTTCGTATGTGAACACTTGGAATCACTACATATGTTTGATATTTCGTCACCGCGCCCGCGAGTCAACGTGTGCAAGCACTAAGTTTGCTCACCCATGATGATGACAGTGCAGGCGGGGTCGGTGATGAGCCCGTCCCACAGCGACATGAATTGCGTCTTCATCATCGCCGTTGCCTCGTGGTCGTGCGCCGTGCGCGTACGCAGAAACGACTCGATCTCGTCTGCAAGCGATTATGATCCTTAATGTGGTGGCAATAAGGTACTTTTTTAGTTGTGTGATTCGAAATATGATCGAAAAATCCATTCAATAGTCTTTTATAGTACTTAATATGGTAGCAATAGGGGACTTTTTTGGTTGTGTGATCACAATAGGACCCAAAAATCAAATCAAGTCTCTCGATCTTGTCTGCAAGCGGTTATGATCCTTAATCATGGTAGTAATAGGGTTCTTTTTTGCTTGTGTGATCAAAATAGGACCCAAAAATCAAATCGAGTCTCTCGATTTTGTCTGCAAGCGACAATGGGGCTTATTAACACGTGCAATAAGGTGCTCTTTTGGTTGTGTGATCAAATGGATCCAAAAATCTAGACAATAGACTAAACTGTTGTAGATAATAAACAAGTGTTTCTAAACATAGAAACATAACAATACGAAATGATGTCAATAAAATAGGTACTCTTTCGATCGTGCGATCAAAACCTCAAGCGAATAAACTATACTACTCTTATACACTTTTCTTATTACATGCACGCTCAAAACACAAGTCACAATTTTTGAGTACTCAGAAACATCCTTAATCTTTATCGAAACAAAACCTCAGAAATCCTGTCCCAGTTCAGTTCCAGTTGCCTGTTCATTTTCTGTTACGTCAATTTCAATACCAATTTAATCAAGCTGTAGATCCTTGCTACACAACAGTCGCAGCAATGGAGCAAATAGTTCTTAATGCTTAAAATCTGTTGGAAAAGACAACTCACCAATAAAAACAATACACGGCTGCAGTTTAACAGCCAGACTGAACACGGCAGCGGCCAGCTTCTGCGTCTCGCCGTACCACTTGTCCGTAAGCAGAGATACGTCGAGGTTGATGAAGCTCATGTTCGCCTCCTTGGCCGTCGCTTTGGCGATCAGGGTCTTGCCGCAACCTGCACACAAACGTAAAAATAACTATTTACATCTTTTTATAACATAAAAGAGACCAGTCAGTAACAGTAAGGAGTCAAATGATCTAATCATTCGTTTCAGCAAAACGTCCACTGCTGGATAAAGCCCTCCTTAACGAGACTTTTTGTCGGTCGATAGTTTAGTCGGCTTCCAATTTGTATGAGGAATCGGTCGATATCGATGTAGTGTGCGCACTTCCATACTTATATGCTTATACTGATCAAGAGCCCGACCAAACTATCGGCCGACTAAAAGTCTTTAAGGTGTCTTAAGGATTTCCACAACAACCGGTTCACCTGCTGCCCACAAACTTCACCAGATCATCAAGTTACTATCCAGTTACAGAATTTGTTAGCTAGTTAAAGCCTTTGGCACACGGTCAAGATCGTTTTGTACATATCTCGTATGAGGTAAGGTACCATACATGTTACGTAACTGCTCAGTGATTTTGGTTTACGATACCATTGTACTAGCGGCTGTGAAAATCCTTGACAGATGGAAAAGGAACGCAAGTAAACGTTAGTCAAGAAGCCAGTTGGAATAGTTGCCCCCACAAGCAGTGGATGAAACTTTTCATTCATTTCACATGTTCTTCTTCTTCTTCTCCTCTATGGCTATTGTGTTTCCACGTTTGCCAATGTCACGTGAGCATAGCCATTACACGGTATAAAAAGTTATAAACCTTGGGTTTGAGTGCTATTAGGTATAGTCTAGCGTGCACACCTAAAACAGACAAACACAACGGCACAGATAAGACAACACAGTTAGTATAAACATAATAAAATCACAAAAAAACAAGGGAACAGACAACAAGGTGAGTAGTAGGAGGGAGAAAGGGAAACAAAATAGTTAGTGGAGAGGGGGAGACGTGAACATTTATTATAGTTTTATTTTATTAATTAGGATGAATTTTGATAGAATGTCTAAAATAGGGGAGTTAACAAGACCGAGGATTGACTTAATGTTTCGACGAAAAACTAAATTATGAAATGTCAAATGTGCATGCTCCTCGTCTATACATCAAATACTTGCATGTATAGAGGATGTATAGTTTATATAAATATAGACCGTGACCTTTACAGGCTAATTAAATGAAATATTATTAATATTCCAACAGTTACGTACGTCACGCAAATGCCAAGGCATTCAACATTAATTTGCATATAAAAAAATAGTTTATAAAAGACACTTTTTCGTAAAATAAGATAAAAACTAATTTCGGATGCTGCTATTTCAAAGCGAGGCGAGGCGAAACAGTAGAAGATATTTGATATCGCATCACATTTGAGAGATTGGGTTGTTTCGAGCCGTCGTCGAGCTGTCTACGAGTGTTGTTATACTTCTATACTAATATTATAAATGCGAAAGTATCTCTGTCTGTCTGTCTGTCCGTCTGTCTGTCTGTCTGTCCGTCTGTCTGTATGTCTGTCTTGCTTTCATGCCTAAACCACTGAACCGATTTTGATGAAATTCGGCATAGAGATAGTTTGAGTCCCGGGAAAGGACACAGGATAAAAATCCCGGTTTTTGAAACAGGGATGCGCGCGATAAAGTTTTTCTGTGATAGACAAATTTCGTGATGAAAAAACCACCCGGGCGAAGCCGCGGGCGGAAAGCTAGTTTCCTTAATAGCTTTGTCCCCATGTCCAATTTCTTCCCAGTTGTCACCTACGTGTTTTTTTCCCAATCCCTACCGAATCGTATCAGAGGAGACCACTGGTTACATTTCATCATCGCCTGTATCACCGGAGGGTGACAACAGCCACGATTCCTTCTCATTTGTCCACTCCTATGTCAAGATAGTACCAAAAAACGCGGCGTGAGACGTCCACCAAAGTGGACTGAGGATCTTATAAAGGTAGCAGAAAGGCTCTGGATGCAGGCCGATACCAACCGGGCAATATGGAAATCATTAGGGGAGACCTATGTTCAGTCTCTGAAATGATGATGATGACCAAACCACCTCTATGGAAGGTTTATTTCCGCCAATGTCGAATTTTAGGTCTTTGATCACCTGGCTTTGATGACCCAGGTGATCAAAGTCCACTTCCAGTGACAATTTAGTGTCCTTTGATCACCTACTGATAGTACTGATAGTATTGTTGCTCGTGAAGAATAAACTATCGATAGTATCGATACTATCTATAATATCGATAGTATTGCACATATTCAATAGTATTGCCTCGTTTTGAGCTATCGACAGTATGTCGATACTATCGATAGGCCAATCGATAGATAAGGCTTTTTCAGATGAAAACTTTCGATAGTTTTACTATCGATAGTTCGGCTCACCGATTTGAACAAGCATAGGGACTTCTTTACACCATATTAAATATTTTTCAGTTTTTTTAACCCCTAATTGCTGTTGCTTTAGTCTCTAACGCATGATGTTTTCACCTATAATTAAGTTTGCATTTTACAAGTGACATTTTTTATAGTTAGTTTTGTGAAGCCTCAATGTAACCTTGTTGGTGTTCAAATAAATAAACACTAGTAACAATAGCCACGATCCTTTCCTACGACATCATACCTGGGGGTCCATGCAGCAGCACCCCCTTCGGCGGCTGCGTGAGGCGGCTGTCGGCGAACAGGTCGCGCTTCTGGATCGGCAGGATCACCGTCTCGCGCAACTCCTGGATCAAGTTGTCTAGGCCGGCTATGTCTTTCCAGTTCACCTGCAGAGGTGATAAGCCAGTTTAGTTTTGAGGGGCTATTGGACAAACGATAGTATGGAGGCATGGAGGTTGCTACACGCATAAAAGGTCCAGCATTAAAGGCGGGGCAGTAGCAGCGCAGTTTGAATGCGGGCCCGCGCAAGTTGTAATACAAGAAACTCTTTGAAGTGTGTCACACCAAATTTGAACGCGGGCCCGCGCTCCAACCGCGCCGCACTGCAACTGCCGAACGACAAACCAGGCGGCGCGGGTGCAGGACAGAAGCGGCGCGAGCGCGGGCCCGCGCTGTTGTATTACTATGGCGGCCATATTAGCATGACACACCGGAGCCAGGGCGGTAACAGCGCGTTGAAAGCGGTTTTCGAATATTTAAATTTTTGACAACCGCCCGCGTTGCAACTGATTTGAAACTGCTTCTGACCCGCGTTTGGTCTGTGGAAGCCTTAATCGGCACAGTTGGGCGTTAAATTCAAACAAGTTGCAACAGTGCGGCCTTAACAGCTAATGCCTTCAGAAAATGCTCGTCAAATAATAAATAGCAGCGCGACATCACCGCTCCGGTAACCAACGGTTTCGATAAATGTAGTGGACAAGTGTTTAGTACGAAATGATTAGCAACACGACTGTCGCACATTTGTCGCCCTGCTAAATTCACTAAAGGTGAAAGTGCACTAAACATTGATTTAATTTAGTTTCTGGTATAATTTGAAGCTTTCAATGACAACTTAAATTTTCTTTTCTGGTATCAATATTTTCACATGGGATTAAGATTCAAATGGGTAAGTCAGGTAAAGTAGACCGTTACAAAATGATAACATTTTTAGTAGCATTACAAAATTTAGGGTGGCAAGTTATTTGAACAGGTGATAAACTTTACTTTGATAAAGCAGATTTTTTTTTACTATCAATCATTTCACCATAAAAAATATTATCTTTATTGAAGTGTAACGATCAAAATATTTTTTATTATCATTTTACGGTTGGCAAACCAATGCATTATAAATTGTTGTGATTGAATAAATACAAGTAGGTAGAAAATAGGTTGAAACAAAGTCACACTACAAAAACTTACATTGCAAAATAGCATCTATTGTAATAACTAAAAGCTTGTTATGATGTTGTTTACATAAAAAACATTTGGCTTTGGACCATTTCATAACCTGAGGCAAAAATTTCCTATCTCATTAGTAAAAATAAATACTTGAACACAACTCAAAAACTATTTAGTTATTCATAAACTTTGAATAAATAAGCAGGCTTGAATTTAAGTAGGTCTTATATCAGGCGTATTTAATCTTAGCCTAGCTGCAGAACACCGCCTTTTAGTTGGTTGACAACTATCAATTTATACCCAATTCTAATTTGTGTGAAGAATCGGCCGATACCAAACAATATGCGCATTTTCATACATCTCCATACAGATCAATTACTATCGGCCAACTAAAAGTCGGTGGTCTGCGCCTAGGCTTAGTCTGTCAGTCAGTATACTATCAACTTACATTGATCTCATCGGGCACAACCAGCTGCGACGCGATGATCATCTCGTGGTCGGTGAGCTTGTCTAAGGCCAGCGCGTGCTTCCCGCTGAGCCCGGCTCTGCAAGACACCCTTAACACATGCAACTCTATGTAATGGCTGCTCCGATAAAGATTGACTGGATATTTGAAAATTAAGTTAGTTGAAAACAAACACATGATGTATTGTGATTTTAGTGGTGATAAATTAACATTTGGGTAGAATCCATGATGATAGATTAGACTCACATAATTAAACAACACAGCCACTCATAGAGTTAAGTTTATAAAAGCAATATCCAATTAGAATCCAATATTTTTTCAGTTAGAAATTATTAAAGGCCAACTTTAATAACAATTAAAATGAAATTATTAAAACGGTATTGCGTATTGCACGTATTTATATACGTATTGTATGTATTGATGATATTACACGCAAAAATTTAGGTTACAATAAGAAAAACATTCAGAATTTAAAAGGTTTATAAATTTGTAAACAAATATTCATTCTTCTAGTCATTGGTAGAAAGATATTTTGAATTTTCCATGTTACAATGATGATGGTGTAACATCCCGATCGATACTTACTTGCGTAACTGCTCCCGGGCTCTTTCCTCGGCCTTCTTCCGGCTCTTGGAAGTCGGATCGATCTGGTTGACGAGCCACTTTATGGAGAAATATGTGACTGCAGATACGAACGCCACACGTATAGCCATTTGGAACACATCGTTCCGAGTAAATGCCGAGCCCTCCACCATCATGCCGTATTGAAAATTAGTAGTGTGTCACAGTAAAAGTACGGGGCAGCTGTCGAAACTATTAAGCTCTTGAATTTTTCAATAAATAAACTAATAGAACAACTTCATCGTCATGCTTCTTTTGTGAATTTTGGTCAATAGACAATTTCAATTTTTTTCCTATTCTGACAGATTGACAGCCAATGATGATTTCATTGTCTATGACTGTAGAACGTAAATGATTGCGTTGATATCTATGAGCTCATAGCTCATGAACTTATCAGTTGCGTACAAGAAGGGTTAAAAAAAGAAAACAATAACAGCTGTCAAAATGACAGTAGTAGAAGATTGTCATGTGAGTTTATAACCTAAAAGTGTTTGTTTGTTTTGTTCATTTGAAACTATTTTAATATAAAAATCAAAGCTTTAACCATGACAAAAGCTAAAAAAAACAAGGCTAATAAGTCTGAAATGTTCACTAACACAAGAAAAGCATTGCGCAAACAAAAACGGCAGCAGAAGAAGGTTCACCGTCAAGAGCATTATTTGAAAAAGAAAAACACCGATGAAACCCCTAAATATGTAGCTGGTAGATTTGTGAGGCGACCACCAGATGCTCCAGAAACAGAAACAAATGTTAAGGTAAGTCTTTAACATAAATTTTCTTGTGTTACCATGGTCAAAATCTAAGGATCAAAATGCACTAAAATTGCAATGTGGTATTTTATTTTGGTTCATTCAAACCAATTAGGCTTTAATCATTGTATAAGTTAATAAAGTTTCAGCTATTATCCTCTTATTTATTGCCTTAGTCTGCACAAAATATGTTCAATTCAATTTCTTTGCAGAAAAAGAAAAAGCAAAACCAGCCAACACCACAAGACATTATCTCCAAAGAACGGCAAAAGGATTTGAAAGAAGCTGAAGAGCTCAAGTCTCAAATGGAAGAACGGAGAAGAAAAATGCTTCTACAAGCTAATGAGGATGAAGATAAAGTAATCAAGAAATTGGAGAAACAGCTGGGCTTGAACAAGTGCAAAAATAAGAAGAACTTCTTCTCTGATGATGGACTTGACTGTATCCTTTTTTACTTATTTTTGATTTTAACAATAATAATATTGAAATTACAATTACAAAATTGCACACATGGCACTGTATGTGATTATGTACATATCACTAACTGTTATTGGTCTTAGTATGACTGATTCTTTATTTCAGTACTTATTTTCAAGAATGAAGCAATTAAACTTAAACTAGATTTATTTAATTCTATTCATAAGAATTATAGATTTTGTAAAATATAAACTATTATCACCTTTTTAACAGCTTTTAGGTGTTAAAAACATAAAGAATAACATTTTTTTTTAATAAATTTGTGCTATTATTATTATTGTTTACTAGCGGCCGCCCGCGACTTCGTACGCGTGGATCCCGTTTTACCCCCTTCATCTATCTTACGCGGTTTAGATTTTTTCATACAAATGTTTTTTTCCGCTAACTCCCGTTCCCGTGGGAATTTTGCAATATCCTGTTGTAACTAAGCTTTAAATTTACTAAGGTACCTGCATGCCAAATTTCAAGCGTCTAACTTAAGCGGTTTAGATTTTTCATACAAATGTTTCTTCCCGCTAACTCCCGTTTCCGTGGGAATTTTGCAATATCCTGTTGTAACTAAGCTTTAGGTTTACTAAGGTACCTGCATGCCAAATTTCAAGCGTCTAACTTAAGCGGTTCAGATTTTTCATACAAAACGATTTTCCCGCTAATTCCCATTCCCGTGGGAATTCCTAAGTATCCTATAACCTGCCCAGGAGTATGAAGAATAATTGTACCAAGTTTCGTTAAAATCCGTCCAGTAGTTTTTGTTTCTATAAGGAACATACAGACAGACAGACAAAAATTTTACTGATTGCATTTTTGGCATCAGTATCGATCACAAATCACCCCCTGATAGTTATTTTGAAAATATACTTAATGTACAGAATTGACCTCTCTACAGATTTATTATAAGTATAGATGGTGTTTGAATGATAATTATATCTAACAGCACAATAATTATTGCTATACAAGTGGTACAGTTTAGGTTAGGAAGTATGTGTGTGCTCAGTATTTTAGTGTTATGGTATAGTCACATAGTGTAATTATATCAATAGCTATTAAAATATATTCCTGAACCAAAAACAATAGATCTTTTAGAAATTTGCGACAGAACAACCAGTGAACAAATAGTAGCAGCTGAAAAACATCTGGCGAATGTGGAAGCAGAATCAGACTTCGAAGAAGACCTGGCTGTTGTCACTGGAAAAAAGGTTTCCAGTAAAAATAAACAAAAGAAGGTTAAAGATTCACAATCTGATATTGATGAAGGAAGTGATGATGAAGGCAGTGGAGAAGAATTAGATGGGGAATATAGTGATGAAGAAATGGATGTAGATGATGATGAGGATTTAAGTGATGAAGGCAGCGAAGGATTTTCTGATGATAATGATGATGATGGAATGTCAGATAGTGAACCAGAAGGTGAGTTATAATAACATAAACAAATGAACTTCTAGATTAAGACATGAATTTAATTATTTCTGTGACATATTAGTGAAATAGCTACACTGTAAAATAAATCTAACTTTTTTCTTTCAGAGAGAGAAACAAAATCTTCCAAAGCTAAAAAAGATAAACAATCACTGAAAAATATAAACTCCAAAGCAGAAACTGAGAAGAATAACAAAAATAAAAAACTAGAAACTGTAAAAAGTAAAGGCAAAGAGAGAATTATACAAGAAGATGATTTGAGCAAAGTGTTCAGTGATGATGAAGTGTCACATCTGTCTGATGATGATGATGAAATGGAGGGTTTCTCTGATGATGGCCCAGAAGATGAAAATGATGAAAAAAGTAAAGAAAAACCTGATGTTTGGGAAGATATTTATGGAAGGAAGAGAGATAAGGAGGGTAATATTATTAAGGTAGGTTTTGTAAACAATAGTGTCTTTAAAATATTAAAACTAAGTGACCAATCTATAAACTCAATATTGACTTATTGCAGGAAGAGAAAGGAGTTTATATACCGCCTCATTTGAGAAATAAAGACTCAGGATCAGACAAAGAATTAGCACAGTTAAAACGGCAAATCAAAAGTAAGTTGAAATGCTTTTTTTTACATATTTTTTTTGGGTAACATATAAAACCAACCAAAGTTGCAGCAAACTGATTTTCGAATACATTCGCCCTGTCTCTTTCATGTTTTGAATGGAGAACCCTGCAAGTTAGACTACGACTTTAAGGAGGTAACAAAGACACGAATGTGTGACACCCCTTTTTATACGTCCAGCTGTGCCATAAGTAGAAAAGTAGAAATTATTAATTTGTGTATCTTGTAACTAAAGTTATATTAAAGCACATTAGCACTTCTTTTTTTGTATTCGACCTGCCTGTAAAAGCATTTTTTAAAAGCTTTATTGCAAAAGATAAATTATTTTTATGACTTTTTATTTATGTTGAATGGAAATGCCTAACTTTTTCTCATTTTATATTTCTCCAGGCGTTCTCAACAAACTGGCTGGCACAAATCTCCACTGGGCGTGTACGTCCATAGAGAATCTATACGCCAGCAATAGTAGGAACTCAGTGAATACGGCGCTCACTCGCCTATGGTTGGACGCGACCGTCGGTCCATCAGCCACGCCGGATCGAATGGTGGCAGAACATGCTGCTTTAGTGTCTGTGTTGCACGCCAATGTGGCTACTGAAATTGGTAAGTTTTAGCCATAATAAGGCTAATATTTTGAACCAAATTCGCTTGTTTTAAAGTTCAAAAATAATGAACACTTTGAAATTGTTATGTTAAATGTCCGAACCCGTCTATAGACAGAGGAGAGTGTAGGCAGAGTAAATACAAATGAGTAGGTCACCTTCATAGAAACGCACCGAGCGCGGTTTGTATGTGAACGCGTCAATACGTATGCGGCGCGCACGCACACACTGACAAAATTCGGCGCAACCATGACTGTGTGACGACTGGCTCCCCGCTAATCCACGCTAAACTTTGTCAATGTGTGCGTGCGCGCCGCATATGTATTGGCGCGCTCACATACAAACCGCGCTCGGTGCGTTTCTATGAAGATGACCTACTCATTTGTATTTACTCTGGTGTAGGCCAAATTCTCTATTTGCTTCTGGTAGATTAGAGAAAGTTGAGCTTCTAAAGTGGAGACTAGATAAGATGATAATGATGAGTTTTAGACAGACGTGTTTGAGTGGTTAAAATTATCTACATAATACAGTTGACGTTACATTTACATTTAGATTGTTAATATTAATGGTTGATATTTAAGATGGCTGTTTTGTGTCTCTTGTGTCCCATCAAATAAATGCTATTTCATTTCATTCGTTTAGTGTATTTCAACGATATCTTGTTTACTTAATATTCATATCTACCCTTATGTTGTGATTTTCAGGAGCGCACTTCTTGCAAGAGTTAACCACGAGGTTTGACGAAATGATGAAGACGCCCCAACGTGTAGAAGACAAGACGCTGGACAACCTCGTATCGTGTTTGGCTTATCTGTACAGTTTCAAGGTCAGTAAGCAGCAAGAATGATTTAGTAAATACTATAGTACAGTAGTCGTCAAATAGTTCGTGTCACCCAAAGTGCGCAATAAGTTCGTAACATGTCTTTATTGCAATTGAAATAAGATTGGGTAAGTTAGGTTAGATACGAAATGGCGTCTGGTTACTTGTATTTTGATTACTCTCATGTCTTTAAAGACACTAATAATATTAATAAAAAACGGATCTATTGACGTAACATAATCAACAAGGCGTCCCTCTACAACGGATCACTAGATCGTCGGTCCACCGAGTGAAATGCCTACACTACGCTTTCCAGTCCGTGGTTGCCATTCGAGACCTTTTTAATGCAACACCGGTCATCAGTTCTACGAGCTATGTGCCCTGTTTACTGCCATTACCACCTGATCCAGCTAACTGCGCACCTCACTGGAATTCGACTCACCCTCCCACTTACCCGCACATCTCCCTGCGCTCGCCCTGTCCGTACCTAGACTAGGTTGAAAGTTAGGCCAGGCCTGTTCATCTCAGCGAGTTTACATCGAAAACAAAACACGCACGATGGCCCACCTACAGGATACTATTCGACAAGGCCTCACATACGAGCGAACATTGACTCACGCACGCGTATTCTTGTGTATGATGGAAGAAAATAAAGAAAATGGTGTACTAAATACTGTGCAGTATTTAACTGCCTAAATAATAATAAAAACACAGAATGTACTTTTTTAAGTTGCCTCAATACACTGAGAGGTAAATAAGTAGTTAATATTATTCATGATAATTTATGCTAAATCATGTATTTCCTCCGCCATTTTCCGCAGTTTGGCACCTCACGTCACATCATTTTACCGAAGTCAGCCCTATAGCTTCGGCGCAGTGCCGATCACTGACGTTTGTCAACAAAATGGTGCTTGACTCTTGAGACAGGCTAAATTACACCATATTGTTAATGTCATTGAGCATACATTTTTTTAAATACCTTCGCGAAGTAAAACTTCTGTACGTAGTAAGTACTTATTATTATTCTGTGGTTAGGCACACACTTTGACATCTTACTTATTTCTTCCAGATCTACCACGCTACGCTCCTCTACGACATATTCACTCGCCTTTTAGAGGATCTCACTGAGAAGAACATTGACTGTGTGCTCGTAGCTCTTAGGAGTGTAGGCGGAGTACTAAGGAAAGAGGAACCATTGGCGTTGAAGGAGTTCATACATGCCACGCAGGCACGCGTGGCTAAACTCAACGAAAAGGCAGCTGATGGGTAAGAAAACAAACATTATCATCATCATTTCAGCAACAGGACGTCCACTGCTGAACATAGGCCTTCCCAATGAATTCCAGATTTTTCCTGCATCCTTTCCTGAAGAACACGGAAAGCACCTGGATGCCAGCGGCGTATGATCAATCGTTGCAAAAATTCTTGGGGAAGGCCTTTGTCTAAGAAAGAAAGAAGAAAGAAAGAATAATTTAAGAGTAGACATCTTATAGTTAGACTTGGAACAAATGAAGAAATTGAGATTCATTCATAATCGTTTGTCACGTGTCACGAAAATGTTCTTTGACAGACTGTTTCTTTTGGTTTTTTGTTTTTTCTTAAGGCCTGGTTCCAATAACCGATCTCCGTTCAGTTTTGGTACGGAAATCTGATTTCTGGTTATTCTGATCTCCTCCGCAAATATGTCTCCTTTCCGCTTCGGTGGAAATCAGGCCTAAAGCGAAGTAATATCAATAATCACAAACTAACACCTACCACCTTATTCTCCACTCCTCAGGTCTCGCATAAAGTTCCTTCTAGAAGTTCTAATGGCGGTAAAGAACAACAATCTAACAAAGATCCCGGGTTATGAGCCCACGTACGCCGAGCAACTCAAGAAGACAACACGAGGCATTATAAGAAAAGGCAACTACATCACGCCGCTCAATATCAGGCTGGAAGACTTGTTGAAAGGTAAGCAAAAATAGGTCTTATCTTAATGGTAATAAGGATAAACAATCTTACCCAGATCCCGGGCTCCAGAAGACGATACGAGGCATTATAAGGAAAGGCAACTATGTCACGCCGCTCAATATCAGGCTAGAAGACCTGCTGAAAGGTAGGCAAAAATAGGTCTTATCTTAATGGTAATAAGGATAAACAATCTTACCCAGATCCCGGGCTCCAGAAGACGATACGAGGCATTATAAGGAAAGGCAAGTACGTCACGCCGCTCAATATCAGGCTAGAGGACTTGCTCAAAGGTAAAAAAAGGAGCTAACTTCATATCATAATGAGGGCTATTGTTTTTATATTTAACAGTTGGCACCACAAGCGATTGACATGACACTACTCCAGCGGTTCCCGAATGGTGGTCCGCGGAACCCTGGGGTTCCGTGGAAAGGTCGCAAGGGTTCCGTAAAAAATATTATCCCACGTTTCGTGACCGACGGTGTTCGCTCGCACCGACTTGTTTACGCAAAAGGGAGGGGCAGGGCGTGCGGGCGGAGTAGTACGGGGGTTCCGCTAGGAAAATTATAATCAATTAGGGTTCCTTGGAAAAAAAAATATTGGGAAACCCTGCCCTACTCTACAGTGGCGCCACGCGCCATCCCGGCGAATGCAAATGCGATAGTCCTCCTACGTTTCAGAGATATTCTAATTAAAGTTTAAGACAAACATTATTTTAATTAATTAGTGGACACCCGCAATGTTACACAACTTAAATACTACAACCTTATATATATATATATACAATACTATATATACAATACTACAAGATTGAGCTAACTGCACACCTCGCTGGAATGAAACTCCCTCCCATTTACCCGCGCACCTGCCTGCGTTCTGCTCGTCGATGTGACGTCACTGCTGCCAGGTGCGCAGTTAACTCGGCGGGTTGTATAGTTCCAAAATACTGGACTGTCCTGTCGATGACATTGACAGTGGGGCGCCACCGTCAATACCGGATCGCTGGTTCAGATTTTTGCCATGTTGGAAACCATATAGTTGAACGATGGTAGCGCCCCCCTGTCATTGAGTTTGGTGGGACAGTTCAGCGTGGGTCATCTATACTTAAATTGGTCCCCATCCAAATAGGAAAGTACACTTAATACAGGGTGTTAGGTAAATAGGTATATGAGCCGACACTAGCCCATGTTAACATGGTCATATAAATGGTATGGTGAAGTCAGAAATTTGATATCATCATTTTCATTTTTTTTAATTTTCATTAGAGATGAAACGGATATCCGGTAACTATCCGGTAGGCCGGATATCCGGCCTAAATTTACTATCCGGCCGGATACCGGATAGTAGCTCACTATCCGGCCGGATACCGGATATTAAAAAACTACGAAAATTTCCTATAATAAAATGAAACACATTAATCTTTAAGTTAAATATCAATAAAATGGCTTATCATAATTACGGTTTTTCTTTAAGTTAATATCAATAAAATGGCTTATAATAATTACGGTTTTTACCTAAAGTTCAAAAAGTTACAAAAAAGCCATATTATTATTAAGGCCTTTCAAAAAACTAATTTCTTTTCTGGACTATTCACTCTAATGACGGATACATAAATAGTAAATATATTTTAATGTCGAAATATTGCCAAATAAAATAGGCGATCTTTTTTTCACTGATGGTCTGATGACGTACAGGGTGACTTTGAAATCGTTGGCATCCTTTTAAGAGCGTTTACGTCTAGCGTGGCATGTCAAGTTTAGGTAATTTCGATGCTATTTTTATTCACACTAAAATAATTGTGACTGTGTGCGTGTTCTCACGCTCTATAGTCAAACCAAAATACTTTGATCCACCATCGTAAAAGTGTGCCAGGCTGTCAAGTGACAGCCCAAAGAAACTATAAAATCTTCAAATCTTCCAACACCGAGTCTATAATTATAAATAATGGTATACATTAGTCCTAATCAATAATAAATACGTAAATTCTTTATCAAATAGTAAATTATCAAAGGTTTTTTACTATTTTGAGAATATTTTATACAGNAAAATGCTTAAATCTAAAAATTTTCTCAGATAACTATTTGCCCAAGGATCTATGCTATAGGATATAAATGTTTGTTAAATCGTTTTCACAGTATTTTTATAAAAATTTCAGCTTGTAAACTGACGCTAAAGTGGAAATTTACAAAACCTGTGTGGACTTATCTTGATATAATTCTTGAATACTAAGCTAATCGCAATATTTTCTCAATTAACTATTTAGACGACGAAATTGCCTAACTATTTATGCCTATAACATATTTGTAGTATTACTGGTTAATGATTGTAACGAGTTGAAAAAGTACTGTTTTTGCGCCAAACGGCGTAAACGCTCTTAATATAAGAATACTCATGATACATAGTGCATTCCCCAAATATGAGACAAATCCAATGAGATTTTTTGACATTATTTTAACTATGTATGTATTTGTATTAGTGTGCTCTTAAAAAGAGTTTAAAACTATTGTAAGTACACTCAACAGCACATCATCCCATACAATTTGTTGCAAAATAACACTTAATACATTGAAATAAGATGCCACAGTATGAATATGAAGATTGATGTGCTGTCATCTGTACAAGATTTCAAATATTGAAATTTTAATTAATTTGATATGACTCATATTTGGGGAATCATGAGTAGTCTTATTTTAAAAATAATGCCAACGATTTCAAAGTCACCCTGTATAATGCAGTTCAGTCAGATTACGCAGCAAGTAAACTAATTGAATTTTCGCCATTCAATGACATACCTACTCACGATGGCAACCGAAATCGTCCGAATTAATCTGCCCCTTCGACGAGTGGCAAAATCTGACATTCTATTCGAACGAATTTGATTTTCGAAAAGTGTGTCTTGTCTAGTCTACTAGACCCACTGATCGCGTTCGAAGCACCTGTGCGGCGCTAAACACGTTACGACATGCAACATGACAATGGGACAACTATCCGGCCGCCGGATATCCGGCTATCCGGCCTAGCAGCTCGCCGGATATCCGGTATCCGGTATCCGGCCAAACAACTATCCGTTTCATCTCTAATTTTCATACAAAATAAATTTAATGAAATCCGATTTGTATGAAAATTAAAATAATTAAAATGAAGATATCGATTTTCTGACTTCACCATACCATTTATATGACCATGTTAACATGGGCTAGTGTCGGCTCATATACCCATTTACCTAACACCCTGTATAGTGAGATTCCCTAGTCCCTATTTTTATTTTAAGCCTTTTTTTATAGCGGAAGAACGATTTTTATTAATTTAATCCTTATTTCTAAATAGCGGAAGAACGAGGCAAATGGTGGGTGGTGGGGTCGGCTTGGGAAGGCAGCCGCGTGCCGGAGACCAAGCCGGCTGTGGCCAACCTGCCTACTACAGATCAAAAGCTGCTGGAACTAGCTAGGAAGCAACGCATGAACACTGACGTGAGAAGAAGCATATTCTGCGTCATTATGTCTGCCGAGGTTAGTCATTTTTATTTATTAACTAGCTGACCCGGCGAACTTCGTACCGCCTTAGCGTAGAAATTTTCTTTATATTTTTTTCCGTAAAAACCTTGTACAGAGTATTAGAAAACTACAAAAAAAAAATCTTTTGATTTGATTTGATTTGATTTGATCAGCCAAATCGGTCAAGCCGTTTTCATGTTATGTCGTGACAACGGAAAACGGGTTTCATTTATATACAGTCGTGGTCAACTAATTAGGGACAGATAGAATACTAAGCAATACTAAGTGTTCATATCCTATTATTGTGAGCTTCATTCAATATTACTGGCTGTTACTTTGTTAACATATTGACTATCAAGTACTCTATTTAACAGAATACAATAACAACAAAAAAACTTACTAACTTAATAAAAAAATCTTAAATCAAATCACATGAATCGGTAATTATGGTACGGACGGCCTGGCCACCTAATTAGGGACGGTTAAGTTTTTCCTTCTAAATTAAAAAAATAAAAAGTAATAACTTTTATTCTGTTCGTTTGTAATTTCGGCGTCAATTTGAAAAGCGATATTCTTATCTTGCGAGTTAAAAACTCATCAAATTATTAAAGGTAATGGGCTGAAAGAAAAGCAACAATGCGCTAAGTTATAATCAATCTTTATAAGTGTGGATGGTCACACCGGTAAATTGCAGATCATCTGAAATGTTCCAAAAACATGAATCTACGATGCAGTGCCTTATTTCAAAATCATGAAACCACAGAAAGTATGCCTAGAAGGAAGAGGCCAATAAAAACAACCCCACAAGATGATCGCAGAATGGTCACTCTCGCAAAGAGTTCGTTCTCGTTCTCGGTTTCGTTCTGATCAAGAGCGAGATTTTTGGACCAGAACCGACTGCTGGAGTATCTGCGAGGACCGTCAGAAGGAGACTGGTGGAGGCAAATCTTGTAGAAAGAGTTCCTCGAAAAGTTCCACTACTGAAGATGGAACACAAAGAAGCAAAATTGGCGTTTGCAAGAAAGTATGGACATTAGGCTTTTGCTCAATGGATAAATGGGCTGTTTTCTGATGAGACCAAGATAAATCTTATTTCATCCGATGACAGACAATACGTGCGACGACCTGTAAAGTCCGAAATGATACCAAAGTAAACGAAGAAGCAGGTGAAACATACAGGCGGCAAAATAAAAATCTGGGACTGTTTTTCTGGACATAGAGTGTAACCTATAAAAAGAACTGAAGTTAAACTTGAGCAATTCCAATACAAATAAATATTGGAGAAAACGATGCTATCATATGCTGAAGAAGTCTTACCAGTCTCATAAACATTTCAACACGATAACGACCCAAAACATACCGCGTACTCAGTTTAATAATTCCTAGCGCAACAGTCAGTGACGGTACTAGATTGGCCCGAAAACAACTCAGACTTAAGCCCTATAGAGCTTATGGTATGAAACGAAGGAAAAAGTTGCAGCTCAACGTACTGGCACTAAAAATCAGCATTTCGTGGCATTTAATGGTATTTGGAATAATATTTCTTTAGAAACCTGTAATGATTTGATTGCATCCATGCCGCGCCGATGTCAAATGGTTATAACCAACAAAACCAACCATATTGGTTATAAAAATACGTTTGATGATTTTGTTTTGAATTCTATATTTATTAATGAAAACTTTTTATGTAATAAACACTTAAATAAATTCCAATTTATTTACATTTACAGTGAAAGTGTTACGTGTCCCTAATTAGTTGTCCATCCCTAGGTCAATAAATGTGTAGGTGGCAATGATTTATTTATTTTAAAAATATTGATCGCAACTAGCTAGTTTCTTTTCTGGCCTTTAAATATTTAGAATACTAGCCAAATTACTTGTTATTAATAGGCACAAGCTACAAAGCCTCGTGAAGATTTTTTTTTGGGACTGGAGAGACGGTCTTGTGTTTTAGTCATATATCGTCCCTAATTAGTTGACCACGACTGTATATATATATAGATATATGTATCTATTTAGATTCCCTTGCTGATTACAAAGACTAAACGGGACTATTCCCACCTCTCGTTCCCACCGCTGCAACTCCTGTGTAGCCAGGATCTACAGCTTGACCGCCACAAAAACCCAACCAATGAAGGTTAAGTTTGTCCCGGGGGTAAGTTAAACTGTCATTGGACCCGCAACGAAATTAAGGTTCGACTTCCCTCCATTGCAAAGCGGATGACAGGTGACAAACAAAGGTTTAAAACCTTTAAGAAAAGATTATGCACCACGGACAATAAATTAAGGGCTTGACTACAAAGACTAGAGTAATCTTTTAGGTTCATTTTTTTTCCTATTTAATAGAAAAAAGTCTAATGCTGGACAAAAGATAGGATTAAGAATATCGACGAAGATCGGTCCTGCAATATCCTCGTTCAAACACTTCCCGTCACCTTCATTAGGTCGTCAATCCACCGAGTGCTACGTTTTACTGTACTTGAGAACTTTTCTGCCCCAACGGTCATCAGTCATCAGTTATACGAGTTATATGATTCAGTGTGCATTGTTGGTTGCTTTAGTCTCAATCTTCATTTCTGATTCGATCGCGAAGGGAAGCTGTGAACATTTGGGTGACCATTGAGCGAAATCCTAAAATGTATTATACAGTGTGTCCCAGAATGGGTGAATCAAACTGCTAGGGGAGGTAGATCTACTAATGTACTATCCCTAAAAAATATGAAAAAAAAAAATAAAGCGCATAAGGACACAAAAAAAATATTCAAAAGTGAAAATAAATTAGCCTTGCCTAAGTATCTGGCTATAATTGCTGCGTTTGGAGTTTATTTGTACTTTTTTCTTACATTAATTGTACAATGATCGCTTCGTTTATCTGTAAACAAATTTTTGAAAATAATGACTAGATTTCGAGTTTAGAGCACTTTTTTTTCCGAACTCAATTTTTTTTTCATATTTTTTAGGGACAGTACATTAGTAGAGCTACCTCCCCTAGCAGTTTGATTCACCCATTCTGGGACAACCTGTATTTAAATTTACCATGAAACAAAAAGTTTGACATGTCTGCATGTGATTTCGTAGCTCCTGAACGACTGAAGCGTTTACCAATCAATATTTCTTATTAACCCCTTAGGACTACATGGACGCGTTCGAAAAGCTTCAACACTTAGGCCTCAAAGGGCAGCAGGAGAGAGAGACGGTGCACGTGCTAATGGCTTGCTGCTTGCAAGAGAAGACGTTTAACCCGTACTACGCTGTGCTGGCGCAGAAACTGTGCGACTTCGATAGGAAATATCAGGTTAGTAAATAATACTATAGTTTTAACGATTAACTCAGTCTGTGCCTGAGGTATAGTTCTAAAATACTGAACTGTCCTATGCATGACATTGACAGTGGGGCGCCACCGTCAATACCGTATCGCTGGTTCCGATTTTTGCCATGTTGGAAACCATATAGTTGAACGATGGTAGCGCCCCCCTGTCATTGAGTTTGGTGGGACAGTTCAGCGTGGGTCATCTATATCGGAGTGGCACGGAAAGGGTGATTTTGACATATTATGACGTGACAGAGCATACAAATCTGAAATCTCGCTGACATTTCAAAATGAAAATTAAATATTTTATTCAGCGACACAAAACAGCATCAAATAAATATGAAACAAAAGTAAAACTAAATAGAGTAGGTAATGTGCGTGTATTGCATTTGACGTAACAAAAAACACCCTCCTGTGCCCCTCCCATACAGATATCTAAACAGTTCTGATAGGTACTTGGATCAAAGACAGTTGACTACAATCACCCATCTATTGATTACAAAGAAAAAAACAAATTGGAAATTACGAGTAATGTGGACTGAAATAATTATGACCCAGTAACTTTTTATCTATTCATTATGTCATCCCAATTTATGTGGTGTCCACACTGTCCACTCTTAAATATAATCTGATTTTAATCGTAAACCCTTGAAATAGACTAATGGTCATAAGACAGTCTAATAACATTTGATCCCAAAGTAATAAATCCTGTTTGTGCCCACAGTAGGTGGTAGAGCCTCTTTTTAGACTGATAACTTAGTGTTATTTAATTTATTAATGTTTCTTTTTACAGCTTTCAATACAATACTCGACATGGGATAAAATAAAGGAACTGGAGAATTTGCCGAAACACAGCATGGCCAACTTAGCGCAACTACTGGTGCACCTCATTATGGGGAAAGGCTTGGCGTTGTCCGTTCTGAAGGTAAGATAATTTTGGTCAAGAATTAAGTCTCGCCTAAATAATAATGAACGACCGGGACCAAGGTAGCGGATTTTAATTAAATTCAATAAAATCCTTCGCTGAAGTGTTAAATACTTCTGTCGATTGTCGATTCATCCGATAAATATTTACCCTTATTTTAAATCCAATAAAGAACATGCATTCATTCTTTTTATTGAACCTCAGTCATTCCAAATCTCATAGGCTGAGTTGCACCACCTAACTTTAATCGTGACTATAACGATAACTGAGCCCCGATTACGGTAATTTTTAACGTCTCCAATCCAGACACGCTTCTCGATTCTGCGATACGGTTGGTCGTTCAACAGCGTACGTGCTGACGTACGCTGTTGAACGACTGTTGTTGTTGTTTTGACCAATCGTATCGCAGAATCGATGAAGCGCGTCTGGATTGGAAACGTTAAAAGTTACCGTAATCGGGGCTCTGGTGTATTTTGTATGGAGTTTGACAGATTTTTGACGTTTGTTAAAGTCAAAGTAAGATGGTGCAACCCAGCCTTAGTCTATGCTTGAATTTCATATTTTGACCTTTATTTTGTTATACTCGTATCAATAAGCTATACATTTTCAGGTGATCCAATTCTCCGACCTGAACAAGCAGTCGGTCCGGTTCATGCGTCAGATCCTCCTAGCCATCATAATGAACGCTGACTTCCAAGCCTCCTTAGAAGTCTTCCACAGGGTATCCAAACCTCCCAAACTGCACATGTTCAGGGAAAGCATACGACTGTTCATACAACACTTTCTGATAAAGAATGCTGGCAAGAAAAACAACGTTCTAACTGAAGAAGAAATGGCAACATTGAAAGAAAGAGCAGTAGAGGTTGATAAAATATTAACTATGCACGAATCTAAATTAAGGTTTTAATATTAATAAATTTTATACAACTGTTATTTTTGGATTTTATTTTAAACTAAGCATAAATAAAAGTGATGGATTAATCCATAATTATGTTAACTAGACTGTAATTAGGATACATAAATTAATTCTAGCAATGCAATAAGCACCTCCCTACAAAATAGGTGTCCAAAAGTACAGTCGATAACAAAATGTGATTACTGATTTTAAACTTCTCATTTATTTTTACTTATTAAAACAATTCTTTATAACTACAGCTAGATTTCATGTAGGGCTGTGATTGCTATCATTGTAATAAATTATTGTGATTTTATTGATTCCAAATTTAATGTTGCATTCTGACGACTTTTGAAGAAGACTTTTATAAGTCTTCTTCAAAAGTCGTCAGAATGCAACATATAATATATATTTATATATTAACTAATTCCCTGATAGATCCTTATTTCTAAATGTTATTGTATTGAAATTAGACAAGCCACTTTTGTTGTCACCTGTACCTCGTTGCCAACAACTAACTACCAAAAAAATAGAGAAGGGTCTATAAAAGACGGCATTTTTATGAACATAACGGCTTTGGGAAATGGCCCATAATGTACTTAAATTAATAAAAGCATTATTATAATTATACGTTACTGATATTATGATTTAATCAATGTAGTGAGGGCTCTTGCCCTATTATATTTTAAGTGGTGATAATAATTTGTCCAAGTGAATGAAAAATATACCGGGTGTGCTCGTACATTTACATACGAACATAACATACCTACCTAGTCTACCTACACGGTTTAGTTTTCAACAGACAACTGTCGCCATACAGGGTGTAGTGTTCAAAGAGGCTATTTATCTTTATAAACCGCGATCCCATACTTGTCAAAAACATAAAATCTGTAATTCCTCAGGTTGAGGAAAGTTTATTATTTGAAAAAAAAATCATTATGTGTATCCCTTAATCAGAAAGCTCTTTAGTATCTTTTGAAGTTATAAAAGATTGAAACCAAACTGCAGTCGTGCTATATGGTATCCATTACCTAAACCAGTTAATAACAATGTATGTTTTTATTTAGTTCAGAAGTGTTCAAACTCTACTTTGTATCGAAACCCAAGTAACGTTACAATCAACGTTGTATTTAAACCTGCATTGGTTGTGGCTAAACGACCCAAACACCCTCGAAAATAACCTTTTGATCGAGATTAGATAACACGTGAATTATCTGCAAAGTGCAACGTTAATATGGGTTTGAACGTAAATTTTATCGAGGTCTTTAATTACCATAATTAGGACAATTAAGGGGCACACGTAAGGATCTACTATTCACAATTTTTGACCCAATTTTAAAGTGAGTAGGTACAAATACTTGCAGCAGGGAACTTTTTCTTCATTATTTAATTTTCATAATAAGTTACAAGTTTAGGTACAGTTATCAGTAAGTAGATCAGGCTGGTAAGGAGAGGAGGAACATTGGTAGGTAATCGGCTTATAAAGAAATATTATTTCAAGGAATAATAATCAGAAATCATATAATTATTACTGCATTTAGATTCTTTAGACATTACTTATGTAATAATGACAACGAATCCACAAGTTTTAAGCATGCCTACTGTATTTATGGTGGTTTGCTAACGTAAGACTCTTAAATCATTGGGGTGTGTAATTTAGCTGTGGGCTTTAAAGAGCAGAGTCACGCTTGTTTGCGGTCACAACAAGTCACAACAAACCTGGCTTGTTGAGCCTTCCATTCGAATAGAACTAGAAATAAGTACTTTTAAAAAATAAAATAAATAGTAACGACGATCAATTTTCAGAGAGAAAAAATGTCGCCTTAACTTTTTCTCGTGGGAAAATTAAATTATACAACTCATGCACTATGCTACTCCAGCCTTCGAGCGTTTTAGAATTTGATCTAGCAAAATTGATTTTCACTCGATAATTAAATAGTTCAAATAAATCGTGATTTGTGTAGGTAGGTATATCGATTATGATCTTTATTAATCTTTGCATTAAAATCCCTCACAGATCATAGAAAGGTTGCCTAAAGTATTTCTATGTTCTGTAGAATCGCCTCACTCAATATGTTTTGCTATTCATGATACTCTCTAGTCGTATTAACAAATAGTACAGCAGCTTATGCAGTAATTTAGGTAGATATCGAAAGACCTAATTCTATTATACCTATTCCGATTATTAACAGCATTTTCCCAAGAGCTCAGGGAAATTCAAACAGTACGCTGTTGTTAAGGGCCTTATCTTATCTAGCGATCCGTCTGCAGGACTGTGCTTATCGCTATCAATGGTAATGTGGTCTACACCTTTTGATAAGCTGATAGGATGCATAGCGACTGTCACGAGGACAGTCGGAACCAGATATTGTCCTACTTGTGGGTATTTCGCCAAAAATGGTCAATTTTGCCTAATTTCCTTGGCACGAATTTTATTTTTGTTTTTAACTATTTTTTGTTTCCCAATGCATTAAGTAGTAAAAACTAAGCTAATATATCTAGAAGGGGTGTCATAATTCGTTTTAGAAACAAAGTTATGAGGTCATAAATTTTTGGTAGCCAAGGAAATTATTATAAATATTTTTTTCTCTAAGTTTTCTTCTGTGGTTTGCTTTTTTTTTGTTCGCCCCATTTTTGTGTACTTTCGCAAGCAAACATGCCAATGAATATTATATCATTACGACCTTTTTACACAACTAAGGAAGATAAATGCAGTAGATTGAGTTAAGAGTTAAAAACAAGTTTTTCTTTATCTATTCTGATACCTGTTTCTTAAAATGTAAATTTTAAACTTATTCCAATAAAGAAATACTCAAAATTTGACTTTACGCCGAATTATTAAAGGTCTTTTATAATTTCCTAGGTCATTTTATGCCAGGGAAAACAAGGAAATTAGGACCAAAGAAATTAGATTTATGCCTAAAAGACACCACAGACAAAAACCTATTTACCCTATGCATTTACTATTTAAATCATGGGTTTACCCCTACAGACACTACATTTGTGTAAATAAACAATAAAATTAATCCATTGTTTAGCTGCAAAAAACCGTCCAAAGAAATTTACTTTTTAGTAAACAAAAACCCAAGGAGGGACCTGTTTATGCAACTTGTCGCGAAACTGATCAACGACGCACTGTCCTGCCGCAATGGCCTCTTGGGATGAAATGGCCGAGTGTAGTGGTGCAGTGCGTTACATTCTAAGTTTTTTCGTTTCGTTACAACAATGGTCGAAACGAAGACCCAGGGAAATTATACTTTTGACCTGGACAAGAACTTAACTTCACTTTATTTTCTTCCTATAAGTATTTGACATTTAAAGTTTTTATTTTCCGATAGCCAAACGTTTCTCAAATGTAAAGAGAGTGCTATTAGAATTAAATTACGCTTCAATTTTTTATAATGAGCCTTCATTTTGGCAAACAACAGTAATGGACATAACAAGGAAATTAGAAAAACAACTTTTGATCAAGTTTTTCTACGGTATTATTTGTAGTTTCTGCTATTGTAATAGCAAAAACAAATAAAACTTTTGATGAACTTTCCCATAAAAATAGTTTTATACAGATAGATATAAAAAAACATGTGTTCGCCTGCCTGGACACAGAAAATTTACTGTTTCGGCGAAATACCCTTGTAACATTTTCCGGGTTGTCGATCGGTCTACTAGTAACAGTTTCAGGGTACAATTTTCACTACCGTTTTCTAGCGCTTGACGTAATGTTTGGCTCTCTATAATTCTATTTGCACTGTTTTTTTTTATTTATATCTGAAACTGAAAAAGCCTCGCTGAATATTAGTTGTCTGTTAGCTAGCAATCGAACCTGAATATAAAAAATCTTACTGGTTTATAAAATAGTGAAAAAATTGACTAACCAGATGGGACCTTGTGAATACAGAACAAAGGCCTATGAAAAGAACAAAATTAAATTACTTTTAGAATAAATTACCTAATATCAAACTAAGTTTAAGTAAAGTAAGTAATTGTGCCTTCAACTGTACCTTACTAAACTACTACACACACCATACCTTTTTCGTATCGTATCGTCGAACGATTTGTCACCTTTTTGTTAGCATTAAGTATGTGGCTTGCACCTTGTGATTTCCATTTAGGTAAACAAATGTAAACAGTATGCAGATTCTAAAGTCCCGAGCACAGTTGTCTACTTACCTAGAGCTTTAAGATCACTTCTACATTATAGGTAGATACAAGATGCATTATTTCTTCTACTGTTGAATAGTAAGATTACCTAGTAAGTTAAAGTTACTGCAAAATTAAAGTTCACACATGAACCAAATGGTTGGGAAGTTGGACCCTCGCGGTTTTGCGTTCGATTCCCAGGTGAAGCAGGCAAAATTAAAACCACTCATTTGACATTGGTATAAGTCAGTACCCTACATATTATGTTTCAAAATCCCAACTAATATTATAAATGCGAAAGTAACTCTGTCTGTCTGTCTGTCTGTCTGTCTGTCTGTCTGTCTGTTACGCTTTCCCGCTTAAACCTCGCAACCGATTTTGATGAAATTTGGCATAGAGATAGTTTGAGTCCCGGGAAAGAACATAGGATCGTTTTTATCCCGGTTTTTGAAACAGGGACGCGCGCGATAAAGTTTTTCTGTGACAGACAAAATTCCACGCGGGCGAAGCCGCGGGCGGAAAGCTAGTTATCTTGTAATTTTCGAATTCTAACGGAATAAATTAAGTCTAATAAAGTCGGTTTCAATGTGGCCTACTTATAATAATTATTATGTTTGTGATTTATTAAAATAGTGACCTTCTCCAAATCTAAATGGACATCGGCCTTGAGTACCTAAGCAATTTCAAGTTATTATTTCTTCAAATAAAGATTTAAGTTTTGTACAACGTTTATTATCCACTTTTCTTTACATGATAGGTATTATCTACCTATCTCATAGGTACATTCGATTGCTTACATTTATCTAATCTATAGAAAGCGAACAAGAAAATCGTGCTTCGATTTAAATAGCGGGCGTGCGTTTGCGCAGGATGGGGCTGCCATGTAACGGATGGTTTC